ATCATTTTCATAATAGTTTACATTAATCAAGAAATATATATATATACATATTTCTGTTGTATATTTTTTAATAAAATGATTTTCCTAATAGAAATATTGTAGTCTTTTTATCTTTAAATCTAGTGGTGCTATACCCTCCTTTTGGCATGTTTATGGTCAAGTGCTTTGTCTGCTTTTTGGTGTTCTACTGGTAGAGTGCAAGTGCTATGCCAACCTGTTAATGTCCTACTGAAGACAAGGCTACCCTAGTTTCTGAATGATACTGCTATGTATATTACTTCACCAGAAACATGGTACATTTTTTATGGTCAAATGCCCTGAGGTACATGTTTAGCTAACAGGTCCTGGGTTAAGGTACAGAAATTTTCGTGTTCCCTACAAATGGCTTGTTACACACAACTTTCAACAGTGTATCAGGTTTAGTGGGATCAGTTTTCCTGTTCACGAATATAAACATTCGCTTAAATAAATGGTTGAATCCTGCATATATTGTTTTTTGGTTACCTGGGACAAAGTCTCATGGTGACCTTTTGCAATACCCTTTTGTCTGGCATCATCCTTGTGTGTCCATAAACGTTTTACTTTTTCGACCTCTGGGAAAACCCAGAACCGATTTCAAAGAAACTTGCAGAAATTTTCCATGGTCAAAGGTTAACAAAATATGTATTTTTCTATTGGAAATAGATCAAACTTGGTTAGAATTGTTAGTATAGAATGAGGCCTTGATGTTATACACATATTGACCCTGACTGACCCCTGTTGGTTGATGGGCAGGGCCAAAAAATGGCAAAATTCACTTAAATTTCAAAAATCTTCTCAATACCCAAATATGCTAGAATCAAATTCTCTTAGTGGATGGAAGGGTTCTTTACCAAAATTGTAAATTTCATGACTCCAGGGTCTCACATTCCCCACTGGCAAGTTCACTTTAGTTTATATATTTTTAGCATAATTTGTATATTTTTGGAGATAATTAGTATAGGATGACAGTTTGATGGTATGCACATATTGACCCTGGCTGACCCCAGCGGGTTGTTGGGCACACTTTTGCTTTCTCACAATACTTCCAACACGCTTATGTTTGTGCTATAAAAATAAACAAATGTACAAACATTTATGCATGATTCTTTTTTTTATTATCAGAAATGCTGGGAAGGTTTTCAAGACGGGTTGGTATACATATATGTGATTTTTTCTTATTCTCCAAAAGATACCAAAAATTCTTGATAAAAAATTTTGAAGTGTATTGTTATTTATTTGCCACCAGCTGTGTTTCACATAATTAGGGCTTTTCACCATCTGGTGTAAAGCACTATTGTTACATTTCCTGGTAATATTATTCTTTTTATTATCGTTATTATTCTTTCGAAATTTATGGAATACAAATCTTTCGATTGGTAAGAGATATATTTAAAGTCTATTTAGTATATTGTAGACAGTAACTGAAGATGTCAATGCCACTTTTTTTAAGTATGTCAAAAATCCGATATGGCCACCATGATGTCATATATTAAATCTTTAATATAGTCATATCTCGAAAACAGTTGATTGTACAGAGTTTGTGCAATTATATCATTTGTAGATAATTTCAATATCTAACTTTTTATACATATTTATACGAAATATGTCAAATAAAAAATCTTGCTGTAGAGTCAAAGGTCACAAATTTTTAATTTTTCCATTTTTTGTTTATTTTGAAAAATTCTTTCACAGATCAATGCAGTTCATTTTGAAGTTAATGTCTTCAGTTTTCTTTATCCTTTAACGTTGTAAGCCATTTTGAACATTTCCTTTGATCCTTTAACATGCTGACAAATTGGTGAAATTTAGACCTATATCAATAACTTATATTTCAATCAATTGTTCTTGGAAAGGTTTCCCCAGATGATCGGTACCATTTAGTGACATTTTCAACTTCATTAGAAAAACAAAATGGCTGGCACAACGTCATATCAAATTTTACCACTAATTACAATATCTCATTGGCTGTTGAATGTAACGAATTCATCTTATATTCAACTTCCAGTTCTCTATAGGCATCAAATTTGAAAATTGCAATTTTGGGTAACAAACTTTGATAAAACTTCTTCTTAAGCTCCACCAGGTCTAGAGCCTTGATAATGTATTTTATACTTAGTAAGCTGGCTATCAAGTTATATCATTTACGTACAAGATTAACAAAAGAGGACCAAGAACGAACTCTGAGGCAACTCGATGTATTTATAGATTTTTAACAATAGATTTAAATACCGAAAATGAGTCTTCCAGCTGTTCACAGACAATGAAGCAGATGACTTGCGAAGATGTCAAACCTATAAAAGTTTGGATTCACATCTGATCGAGGCAGAGCTGAAGCTCAAAATCCAAAAGAAAAATACAGCTGAATCAAAACAAAACTATAAAAAAAATAAAAGGAAAAGGTCATTTTCTACCAAATGGAAGGATGATTTTTCTTGGCTGGACTTTTGATTCTGAGAAAAATGTGATGATTTGTGTTCCATGCAGAGAATATGGAAAAAACTGGAAGATTTGTTGAAGGGACTGATAACTTTAGAATTGATGCAATTAAAAGCCATAATGAGTCCTCATCCCACGACATAAACATGAGAAATTACCAGATCAAGCAACAGCAAAGTAAATCTACATTGACAGGTGCTATACCTATATTCATCACTTATACCGGTGAAATTGACAATCGATCTCAAGATATAACTGTTGATTTACAACAGCCAGGACCCAGTACAAGCTATGGATATTGCTATTCAGCGACTGAATGAAGACCAAATAAAACAGTTAACTGTATGTTTTAACACAGCTTATTTTACAGCCAAGGAAGAACTTCCATTTACATTATATCCCAAACTTCTATCTCTTCAAGAGAAAAATGGTGTTTCTTTACCGAGTAGCTACCAAACTGATAAGGCCTGCAGACGTTTCATGGAGTTTATTGATAAGGACATACAGGCAAACCCCAAAACACTGCTTAAAGAAGCAAATGTAATTTCCATCTTGTTTGATGGAGCAACTGATGTATCTATCTCTGAAAATGAAATGTTTATGCCCGGGTAGTTGAAAAGGGGATTCTAAGAAATTTGTTTGTAAAGATATGTGCTGTTGAACATGCTCGTGCAGAAGGGCTGCTGCATGCAATTGAAAGTGCTATCGGACAGTGTAGATCCAGGTTGGGACTGGAAAAGTTAACTTATTGCAACTGGCTCTGATGGAGCAACTGTGAATTTAGGACGATGTCACAGTGTTGCAAAGTTGTTGAGAGATGAAGTACCTTATTTATTTGCCATTCATTACGGTAATCATAGGCTTGAATTGGGTGCCCTTGATACAATGAGGAAAAGGGATGGCAAGCATTTTGCTGACCTAGAGTTTGTGCTTACCAATCTCTACAAATATTACCATTACAGTGCCAAAGCACTTAGGGAATTGCAGGTGTTGGGGGATGCTATGGGAGAAACAATGTCTAGACCTGCCAACCCATCTAGTACGAGATGGATGCCTCACCTGCAACGAAGTCTTGATGTTCTTCTGAAGAAATATTCAACATTTTGAGAATACTCTAGATCAGGAGCCATTGAGGTGCAAGCCAGAGCCAAGCAGATTTTGGGGAAATTAAGACTATACTCTATTGTATTATATGCATTTCCTCAAGGATGTTTTAGCAATACTGAGCGACTTATCTCTTAAATTTCAAAGGGATAGCTGTGGCTTGCCAGGAGCAACTGAGGCACTTGAGACTGCCTGCCTACGTCTCACTGCTTTACACCATCGACCTTGAAGAATTTCTTGTAGAAGTGACCCAGGATCACAAATTCAGAAATACCCATTAACTGCCCCAACTTTGACCCAAGAACAACTCAGAAACAAACAGAATACTTTTGTTGACCTGGTTATTGATTTCATTACTCAAAGAGTTGGAGATGAAGAATCTGACCAGCTTCTTAAGTCTATGCAGGTGTTTTACCCTGTCAACTTACCAGAATCTGAAGCAGAGCAAGAAATATATGGGGAAGAAGCTGTGAATGGCCTTTGTGACCATTATTCAGTGGTACTGAACAGGATGGGTTGTGATATTCCTCAACTTAAAGAAGATGAATGGCCCTCTCTTAAAGTGCACATGAATAGACAGCCAAGGAATATCAGTATTACAGATTTCTATCACAGAATTTTCACAAACCAAAACCTTAAACAAAACTTTGAAAACATTCTTGTGCTTGAAAAAATAATTTTGTGTATTCCATTCTCAAGTGCAACATGTTAGAGGGGTTTCTCGACAATGTCCAGGATTAAATCTGATTGGAGGTCTAAGCTAGATATTAAAATGCAGAACATATTAATGGGCATTTCTATTTAAGGGCAAAGTTTATGTGACTATAACTGTCAGAGAGCTTTGGAAGTATGGTGACATGGAGGCAAAACAGCCAGGCGCCCACAGTTTGACTGAATGTGACACGATATTCTCCATGTGTGATTTATTCTTTAAAAGTGCAAATGACATAATCAAAATAGTTACATTTAAGATTTTGACATGTATTTGTGTAAGTCTAAATTGTTGTCCTCAGGTAAAGGATTGTGAATTATTACTGACATTGTCTGTATGATCTAACATGTATTACATTCTTTTACATTGTATTTTTTTTGTCTCAATGTTGGTAATATGACAATTGAGAGAGTGCACTTTAAACTTGTTCTTCATTTTTAAAAAATGGTGTAGTAGAAATCTCAAGTGGTCTAGTAAAAACTGTAAGTTACTAGTCCACTGGTCTAGTTGAAAAAATGTTAATGTCGAACCCTAGTTTAGTGTTTCAGATTTGATAGGAATTCCGTCAGCCGTGTTAATGAATGTAAACGGAAGTTGGCGGAAGTACGTAAATGGGGAAATAATTTCGCTGGACACCGTCGACGATGACAGTCCTGTCGTACTTCCGGTTTAACTGTGTTGACGATTGACGAACAAATGGCTACAGACAAAAGGATAAAAGAAAACGACAATGTAGATGTACTTAACTATATGTGTATTTTCTCTCTCTCATAACATAAATAGCATAGTTCTAGTTATGTTACGAGTTAAATAGTTTCGTCGTATGGACATTTGATTTGGTAAGTTAACTGACGTCTGTCCGATTGTCACTGCCAGCTGATCATGCAGCAGACAATATGCCAGAGAGTGTCACAGCACAGGGTCAGGTTGACATTTGCTGTAAATAATGTTGAGATGTTCCGAGTCAAGAATTTCGTGATTCTGTATTGGCCTGTATGCAAGGAAACGTGTCGCGGAAAGAGACGTGCATTAATACCGATATATCTATCGCACAATCATCTGAATAGACTGAAAGACAACAAAATCACATAAAAAGAAAACAAAGAAAAATGTCAACAAGACCTTGTGGTAACTCCTGTATAATGGGATTAACCATCTTCCCAAGCTTTCAGTAAAGTTCGCTAACTTAATTATTTCTCTTGTGTCAATAATGATTTGATATATTAATATAATATTATAATATTAATATGCTGGTCAAGTCGAATACTATCAAATGTTTTGAAGCAGGTCTCTATTACACATGATCAGCAGACTTGGTCATGCTTTTTGGCTCATGATCAGGCCCAAGACTCAGGGTTGGTTCATAATTGGTTATTCCTCAGGAATATATTTTCTCTGGCTCTTTGATTTTAATACACAAATGTACCACTTGTATGGAATTTATAACATGACTTGTAAAGTTATATAACTGTTTGTTGACAAAATTTAAACATTCAGTCTGGAGTTTGAGAGGTACCTTTTACATAACTTGAAGAATAATAAGGAGTTTTAATTTCATTTTATCTGCTTTGTGTATTCTATATTTTATTTCTGCTTGGATGATGTAATACAGAGAACTATTTTTACAGACATCAGTAAACGTAAACAAGAAACTCAAAAGAAATCATGTAACTTGAATCAGTTTGAACCTTCCATGTATAGGATTGTATAATTAATGGACCTAGATATGGCCAAGATTTTATTGAGACTAATATGTCAAAAAGGAGACTATATAAAAATCTCAAATTAAAAGAATAAAATGTTAAGCCTATATCGCTGCATGGGAAACACATACCTCCCTGTAAAATTCCAATTCACTTATTTTGTGTACATGAATATATCCTTGACAAACAATAGCTTACTCTTCATTGAGTGAAATCATTTGTACCTGTTATATTTCAAACTTTTAATTTGCTTTCATTAACTATGTGTTTCCATTCGACTTGTGATACATGTGTGATGTAGATCCAGACTGAACATTTTTTTCTCAGACCTAATCATGTGTCCATCAATGACTGATTGATACATTTTTGCAAACAAATTTTGAAAGAACAATTTTGTTGGCCTTATGTAGAACTGGTAATTTTCATGTTCCCCCAATATTTTTGTGTCAAGAGCATAATTTAGCATGCAGTAAAACTAGGATATTAAAACCTGGTGTATAAATTTGTCATACTTAGAAAATGTACAGTATACCAAATTCAGGATCTGCTACCCCTTAATTACAGAATTATTGTCCTTTATTAAAATTTTATGTCCAGTGAATATTTTTTCTGTGGAGCATTCATCAGTGTCACTAATAACACTTTCATTTCTGATTGGGTTAAATTTCACCTTTACAAGTATCAGTGACACAATTGTTGGAATGGTTCTCACTGCATGTAATTAAGTCATAAGAGTACTTTACATACATTTTGTATGTATTAAATATGATTGATATTCAGAATTTTCCTGTACATAATTAATAATGCTGGAAATTTCAGTAGCCATTTTATGAATCAGGATTTAGTCCCTGTTTTATATAATTGAAAATATCTTAATACCAATATTCAATAAATTAGACATTGTTGGATATAATCTCAGTTTAGAAAGTTTTCAAATATCTACAGATACAAATAGTTTATTGACAATTTGACAAATACAAGGTCATCTGACAGGAACATTCAAAATTTAGTCATACACTGGTGAAAATGTATATTTTTCTTTAGAGTTGCAAAGATTTTTATAGTAACTGATGAAACATGAAGTGGTTCCTTGACTGGTTAAATTGATCAAACTTAGAAGATATATTTGTGAAAAGTACCAGGAAGTTTAAACATATTATCCCAATCCATTTTATATGATTGTGACATTTGGGTTGTGTATTTGCCTATATGTTTAAAAGTAACATACTTTTTAACCATTAATGATTTAACTTTTAGATTATAATTACATGCCACAATTTGGCTGGTTTGTTTCAGAGCATAGCCATGCAAAGGTGGACAGTGAACTTGGAGGGTGGACCCAGGCGTGTCAATCATGCTGCGGTGGCTATAATGGACAAGATTTTCAGTTTTGGTGGCTACTGCACTGGGGAAGACTATGAAACAACCAGGCCAATGGATGTTCATATTCTTGATACAGGTAAGCTTCAGCTGAATCCTAGTCCACTTAAGGGAGGCAGTTTTATTGTGCTAACTTTTAATTCCAATTCCATTTGGCTAGCACTAGGCCAGTGTTAATACTTTAATGTTAAATAGACCAATAATGCAGAGTTTGTTTTACTTGCATTTTAACCATTATTGAAATCTCAATTGAATATTCAAGGTGAAATTTACTCACTAATTAAAAATGTCATGCTAGTTCTCTGTAAAGTCAGATTACCAAATTAAGCAAGCACTCATAAGTGACCTTTTCCTAGAAGTGCTCTTATTAAAAAACAACAGGTTTTGTATGGAGTAGGAAAGTTGTATCTTTGTTGGGCAGAAATTTTGTTGTTTTACAAAATAATCAATTTTCATTGGATCTTGATTTCATGGATAAATCTTAGTTGGGAAATCCACTGGTACCAATGGTGGTTCGGTGTAGATGGTTTCTTAAACCAGAGGACTCTGTCAATATTTGTGGTTTCTTATGCCAAGTGATTGGTCAATATATATAGACCTCAGGATCATTTGTTTTTCTTTATGTATTTATATATTTTGATATTGGATCTTTGGTTTTGGATCACGGCCTTGCTGAAATACTTTGAATGAATTTACCATACATAGAAAAGACCACAAATGTGTTACATTTAGTGATAAAGAAACTAAAATAGTATTTGCCTAGGAATGTTACACTTGTATGGTGTATATCATACAATTTAAACCAGCTATTGTTTAGTACAATACATGTATATTTCAGTTTCTCTACGTTGGACACTACTGCCCATTCCTAAAGTGCATGATCCCCAGTACCAACTCTCACCGTATCAACGGTACGGCCACACAGCGGTTGCCTTTGAGGAAAATGCCTATGTGTGGGGAGGTCGAAATGATGTTGATGGTGCTTGTTCCATCCTATTTTGCTTTTATAGCAGTAAGTATATTGGGTATAGAAACCAGAGGTAACCCTGGGCTTTTCTAACATATAATCAAGATAGCCTAATTGGAGTTTGAAAAACCTAAACATTTAATTTATTCCAATTGGATAAAAACTACACATGTTCTTCTTAAATAATGACTTACCTAGTATTATGATTTTGGCATTTGTCACAATAAGATCATAAAAAAATGCAGTCATGTATAGCCTTTATCCAAATTTTGATAATCTAAATCTTTTTTTTAAGGAAATCTGTTTTCATGCTGCTGTTTGAAAAAGCTTAATTATGATATTGAAGTAACTCGTATTTTCAATATCTTTTCTGTTTCTTTCTTAGCAAAATTAAAATGGTCATGTCCAAAAACGAGTGGAAATATTCCCATCGCAAGAGATGGACATTCTGCTTGTGTCATCAACAATAAGATGTTCATCTTTGGCGGATATGAGGAAGAGGTAGGTTTACCAAAGTGTGTGTCACTATTACATAGATAATTGACAGTCCAAAGATATCATCTCACCCTTGTACACAAGAGACAAGAACCAGTATTTGCTTTGCAGGTGTATAAAGTGCCCTACAATCTCATTACAAGTCTGAAGCAACAAAAGGTTGTAAGAGATTTTCAGAAAGTAAAGTTGAGATTAGAACTGGAGAGATAGTATGTACAACATGTATTTATACAGTTAGAGATTTTTTTGGTAAATATTTACAAAACTGTAATAGAAATACAGTACCTTGAACGATGAAGCTCTCTTGCTTCCAAGCTCCATTGAGCTTTAACCGTGTGCAGCGTCTGTCTGCCTGTCAGTTGTTTCCTTAAAACTCTCCCATTCAAGAAATATCTTACTGAATTTTGAGCATATTATAATGTAGAATCTTTTGGTGAAAAGAACTTAAATTGTCAATTGAGTGCCCGCTCCCTGTGAAAGAGGAATCTAACATGACACAATAGAATAAATTCAAGTGTATCTTCAAAATCCTTTATCTTCAGTTTAGATCATCAAAAATTTGATTAAATTGATTGTTTTACTATAAATCTTGGAACTAAGAAATCATATGTTGTGTATGGTTTTGAGGGACTGATCCCAGGTTGGAGGGAATCTTTGTAACTACATTGTATGCAATAAATGAATGATATTTTGCCTTTATTACTAAAATATCAAGGTGAATAATGCAGTTCCTGTGGGCCTTTTGTTAATGTATATACTTGTAATACAAAACATGACATGTTTTAATTTCATCCTTGTGTTTGCAGGTTGATCGATTTTCCAATGAAATCCATGCTCTTGATTTCCTTACTATGTCCTGGAGTGCTGTTCATCCAAAGGTGAGTGTGCATACTAGGGCTGCCTACATTTCACCAAAACACAGACGTTCATTGGTGAAGCAACGCTTAAAATAGGACAATTTTTGTGTCGCCTGCAGAGCTGGCGGACACTTAGGGATCACTTTATCCGTCATCACGCTGCGGTGGCGTTGTCATCGTCCATACAAAAGTTTTCCGGACTTTTTTCGGTAATGCTTTGAGTTATCAAAAGGAAATTTGGCATATGGCTTTTTGTTGCAAGGGTACAGATTAAGTTTGATTCTCGGCTGTCTGTTACCCTTTTTGACGGAGTTATGCCCCTTTCAACTTAGAAAATTTCCTGGGAATATTGCTTTCCTGACTTTTTTGGCTTATGCTGTGAGTAATCAAAACGAAATTTGGTATATGGCTTCTTGTTGCAAGGGTACAGATTAAGTTTGATTCCTGGCTATCTGTGACCCTTCTTGGCAATGATATGTCCCTTTGAACTTGGAAAATTTCTCAGGAATATTGCTTTGCACAGTTTTCCCTTTATGCTTCAAGTTATTGAAATGAAATTTGGTATTACAACTTTATGGTTGATCGTTGCACATCCAGTTCAATTTCTGGGTGACCTTGACACTGTATGCAGGCGACACATACAGTTCCAAGGAACTCTTGTTGTAGATTGAAACCAATAACAACCAACCAATATTTTCTCAAAGTCTTGAAGTCTGAAACCAAAATGGTATTGCCAGGTTTCCATAAAACACAAAAAAAGCACTTGCTCAGTTTTATTTCAATCCTATCTAGTCATTTCCAGCAAAAGAAGCATATTGAACTGAAGATATTTGCTGATAAATAGTGGATCATCTAAATGTTAGTGTGATATTTTCAGATATTGACTCATTTTAAGTACATTGATTGTAGAATTTTTGCACTTTAGTGTTTACATTGTATAAACACAATGTCTAGTACCAGAGTTATTGATTGCAGTATAGCATAAGAAGTTTGGAGTGAAGTATAGCATTCAAATATGGAGTTAGGTATAGTGTTCCAATTATGGAGCAAAGTATAGCTTAAGATTAATAGAGCGAAGTCCAGAATTGGAATTTAAGAGCAAAGCCTAGTAATGGAGTTATGAAGTGATGTATAGTGTTTAATTAATGGAGAAAATTCTTTCATTGATATTATAGTGCAAATTATAGTGCAGTATTAGAATAATGGAGAATCCTCTATCCAAAAGGCATTGCAGATAGATATAAGACCAGCAAAAAGATGAACACTTTGTCAGCTACTTATTGCATACACAACCAAGTTAATTATTCAGTCTGTTTTGGATGTTTCAGGGCACCCCTGCAATATGGAGAGACTTTCACACTGCCACTGGTGTGGGTAATAATATGTACATCTTTGGTGGTCGTAGTGATGAGGGAGGAGATATATTTACAAACAAGGAAATATACTGCAATAAGATTCAGTTGTTTGATACTATAACCAACACATGGCATGAGCCAGTAACACTTGGCACTCCACCAGTCGGTCGTCGTAGCCATTCAGCATGTAAGTTTCAAGATGTGTTTGTGTTTAGTTACCCAGAGTATCATTTATCATGTGAGTTTTCAGTAGAGTAGTTATTTCTTGCTCATCGAAAAGTTGATTACTTCAAAAAAAGCATCAACTATTTCTGGGCTTCAGATCAGACTTGATTCAATACTTTACTTTTGCGTAAAAACATCAAATTATGTGATATCCTCTGATCTTGAGATCAGATGTGCTACTTCAGTGGGTCATGATATTACTTACAGGATTCTTTTTTAATGTAACATTTATTTTTCAGTTGTCTTTAAAGAGAACTTATATATATTTGGGGGATACAGTGGTAAACATGACATTCACTTCAAAGATGTCTTCAAATTTGATCCAGGTGAGTGATGACCATGTACTGCCATTAAAACATCCAAATATACTCAATTGGTTCCAGCTAATCAGTAACCATTTATTTGATTTCATACTTTTCTGTTATATGCAAGTATGGTCTCATTATTATATCTTGCTGGAAGAAAATCTTCATAATATTAAATGAATTTTAAAGTCATACATAACAACACTTTATTCAGCAGTATGATGGAGTTTGTATATTATTTCATGCAGTGAAGATGCAATGGTCAACCATTAAGGTGAAAGGTCAAGGTCCTTGTGCCAGGCGGAGACAATGCTGTTGTGTCATTGACACCAAAGTTTTCCTGTTTGGAGGAACTAGGTATGGGGCTTTAGTACTCAGGGGCTCATAAGTGGAGAAAAAGGAAGGCAGCAAGTTCCGTTAACCTAAAAAGATCAAACACTTTAAAAGAGACCAGTTTATTAAATTCTTCAAGCTTGAAATAAGAATTTGTTGATAATGGAATACAATTTATTTTATAAATAGTCCTCAGTTGACTCATACATCAAATTGTTAATGATTTTTTCTTGCTGAAACTCTGTTTTTTGTTTTGACTTTTAAAAATCAGGATATTGTCGGAATTTATTTCAAAAGTTAATGAGTGTTTGCCATGAAGTCATGTTAACCAGAATTTAAGTTTTGAAGCTTTACTAGTTGATTTTTTTTTATTATTATTTTATCTTGTAACCATTATATACTGATGACAAGGAGAAGGTAACCCAAGTTATCTCTGGCCTCAATCCAGGTGTTAGAATAGATGTCTTTCAAAATATCTAATGCCTAAGGTTGGTGTCAGAGGAAACAGACTAACAATAATGAACTATTTTTACAGCAATTACGTAATAAGATATTTTAACTTACACTAATCACTCTTGTTGACTCGAATGTAAGGGCACAAGGGGTCTTATTGTAAGAGGAAACTGGGATACCCTGGGAAAACCCAAGTAGTTAGGCAGGTGACCTCTTACCTTTCCATGTCCGTTCCTGGAATTGAACCCATTCAAAACCATGGATGTACTGATTAAATGATATATAGGGTTGTTGTGTTATCAAATGAAGTTTTAGTTGAATATTGCAGGCATTTTTATGCATATTATATTAATTTCTATCTTTCATTGCCTTAAATCTCTTTGATACTTGCACATTCCTTTCTCGTCAGTTCACACTATCAGAGGGTTGTTATGATAGTGTTTTTACTGCTGTTTGTCAGTCTGTCAAATGTATTTAATTTTGTGCTCCCTGTTGTAGTCCCACCCCCGACTCGGAGTTCACCAACACAGAGAAGGACTTGACAGATCACTCAGACTTGCATGTATTAGACTTTGGTAAGGCATTATGGATGTTTGTTTGAATTATGTGTCAAACAATATTTCAGGAGAGTTTTGGTTGTTGTTTTGTCAAACAACATTTCAGGAGAGTTTTTGGTGTTATTTTGTCAAACAATATTTCAGGAGAATTTTTGGTTGTTGTTTTGACAAACAATATTTCAGGAGAGTTTTAGGTTGTTGTTTTGTCAAACAATATTTCAGGAGAGTTTTTGGTTGTTGTTTTGTCAAACAACATTTCAGGAGAGGTGGTTGTTGTTTGTAAAAACTATACAATATTTAGGAGATTTTGGTTGTTGTTTTGTCAAACAAATTTACTGAAATATAAACATTTTGTTTTGTATTTCAGGAGTGATTGGTTGTTGTTTTGTCAAACAACATTTCAGGAGAGTTTTTGGTGTTGTTTTGTCAAACAACATTTCAGGAGAGTTTTTGGGTTTTTTTTGTCAAACAGCGTTTTAGGAGAGTTTTTGGTTTTTTTGTCAAACAATATTTCAGGAGAGTTTTTGGTTGTTGTTTTGTGAAACAATATTTCAGGAGAGTTTTTGGTTGTTGTGTCAAACAATATTTCAGGAGAGTTTTTGGTTGTTGTTTTGTCAAACAACATTTCAGGAGAGTTTTAGGTTGTTGTTTTGTCAAACAATATTTCAGGAGAGTTTTTGGTTGTTGTTTTGTCAAACAACATTTCAGGAGAGATTTTGGTTGTTGTTTTGTCAAGCAATACTTCAGGAGAGTTTTTGGTTGTTGTTGTGTCAAACAACATTTCAGAAGAGTTTTAGGTTGTTGTTGTGTCAAACAACATTTCAGGAGAGTTTTTGGTTGTTGTTTTGTCAAACAATATTTTAGGAGAGTTTTTGGTCAGGAGAGTTTTTGGTTGTTGTTTTGTCAAACAACATTTCAGGAGAGTTTTAGGTTGTTGTTTTGTCAAACAATATTTCAGGAGAGTTTTTGGTTGTTGTTTTGTCAAACAACATTTCAGGAGAGTTTTAGGTTGTTGTTTTGTCAAACAATATTTCAGGAGAGTTTTGGTTGTTGTTTTGTCAAACAACATTTCAGGAGAGTTTTAGGTTGTTGTTTTGTCAAACAATATTTCAGGAGAGTTTTGGTTGTTGTTTTGTCAAACAACATTTCAGGAGAGTTTTTGGTGTTATTTTGTCAAACAACATTTCAGGAGAGTTTTTGGTTGTTGTTTTGTCAAACAACATTTCAGGAGAGTTTTTGGTTGTTGTTTTGTCAAACAATATTTCAGGAGAGTTTTTGGTTGTTGTTTTGTCAAACAACATTTCAGGAGAGTTTTTGGTTGTTGTTTTGTCAAACAACATTTCAGGAGAGTTGTTGTTTTGTCAAACAACATTTCAGGAGAGTTGTTGTTGTGTCAAACAATATTTCAGGAGAGATTTGGGTTGTTGTTTTGTCAAACAACATTTCAGGAGAGTTTTTAGTTGTTGTTTTGTCAAACAATATTTCAGGAGAGTTTTTTGTTTTTGTGTCAAACAATATTTCAGGAGAGTTTTTGGTTGTTGTGTCAAACAATATTTCAGGAGAGATTTGGGTTGTTGTTTTGTCAAACAACATTTCAGGAGAGTTTTTGGTTGTTGTTTTGTCAAGCAATACTTCAGGAGAGTTTTTGGTTGTTGTTTTGTCAAACAACATTTCAGGAGAGTTTTTGGTTGTTGTTTTGTCAAACAACATTTCAGGAGAGTTTTTGGTGTTGTTTTGTCAAACAACATTTCAGGAGAGTTTTTGGTTGTTGTTTTGTCATGCAATACTTCAGGAGAGTTTTTGATTGTTGTTTTGTCAAACAACATTTCAGGAGAGTTTTAGGTTGTTGTTTTGTCAAACAATATTTCAGGAGAGTTTTAGGTTGTTGTTTTGTCAAACAACATTTCAGGAGAGTTTTTGAAACAATATTTCAGGAGAGTTGTTTTGTCAAACAACATTTCAGGAGAGTTTTTGGTTGTTGTTTTGTCAAACAACATTTCAGGAGAGTTTTTGGTTGTTGTTTTGTCAAACAATATTTCAGGAGAGTTTTTGGTTGTTGTTTTGTCAAACAACATTTCAGGAGAGTTTTTGGTTGTTGTTTTGTCAAACAATATTTCAGGAGAGTTTTTGTTTGTTGTGTTGTAAAAAAAATATTTCAGGAGTGTTTTTGGTTGTTGTTTTGTCAAAAACAAGAGTTTTTGGTTGTTGTTATTTCAGGAGAGTTTTTGGTTGTTGTTTTGACAAACAACATTTCAGGAGAGTGTTTGGTTGGTTTTTGTCAAACAATATTTTAGGAGAGTATTGTGGTTGTTGTTTTGTCAAACAACATTTCAGGAGAGTTTTTGGTGTTGTTTTGTCAAACAATATTTTAGGAGAGTATTGTGGTTGTTGTTTTGTCAAACAACATTTCAGGAGAGTTTTTGGTTTTTTTGTCAAACAACATTTCAGGAGAGTTTTTGGTGTTGTTTTGTCAAACAACATTTCAGGAGAGTTTTTGGTTGTTGTTTTGTCAAACAATATTTCAGGAGAGTTTTTTGTTTTTGTGTCAAACAATATTTCAGGAGAGTTTTTGGTTGTTGTGTTGTGAAACAATATTTCAGGAGAGTTTTTGGTTGTTGTTTTGTCAAACAACATTTCAGGAGAGTTTTTGGTTGTTGTTTTGTCAAACAACATTTCAGGAGAGTTTTTGGTTGTTGTTTTGTCAAACAACATTTCAGGAGAGTTTTTGGTTGTTGTTTTGTCAAACAATATTTCAGGAGAGTTTTTGGTTGTTGTTTCCTGAAAAAAAAAATCAACATGATCAATTACTAGTCACAGCTATATTTTGAAGAATTTAATATTTTACTTTCAGCCCCATCTTTGAAAACTCTATGTCAAATTGCTGTGATAGAACATAAGCTGGAAACTCAGTGTTTACCAAGTCTACTAAGGTGAGATCTTTAACCTTACATGAAGCTTATTGTTTAAATTTCTTGATTTTTTTTTCACATCTCTTAAAGGGTTTTTTTAACATGTAAAATGGACTCCCAATTCAAAAACATGTCACAAAAAATCTGTTTATCCATCTCGCATCAGCAGTTAGCTCAGCTCTTGCTCTGGTAACAGTAATCATGCTTTAACTTTTATTATCATGACGTGGACATATCAGGGATTATTTAGTATCACATTATTTTTACCTGTTAGTTGGTGTCATTAATTACTTACAGAGAAAATTGCAAAAAACTGAAGTTGTCTTGATATGTTCTTTCTATATGGACAAAAAAAAAATGCTCATAAATAGACCATTGGCAATTAATGAGTGGTGCCCTGTTTACTCTGCAAAACGCTGTGAGGGAAACAAAATCTGAAATAGATGCAATTTGGCCATACTTCAGTTGATGTTGTATGTATTAATTTATATGAATTCTGATCATCTGTTTGTGAATTCTATATGACAGATGAGTGAGGAAATACATGCTAAGTTTCTGTATTTTTCAGGTGGGAGATTTCTGTTATGACGACAGACAATCAGATTACAAAGCCTCATAACAACAATGGCTGACAGCATTTGTGTATACAGAGTTACAAATATTTATCAAATTACCATGGAAAGCAATACCACTTCAAGGTCACAGCGACCTAAAGAGAGACTGCTCCACCTAATTGGGTACTTTCGAAGGAATGCTGTGCTTTGAATTGTTGAGTGACTTTTGTAGAGGTACAGTTTTGTGTTATTCTTGTGCCTCTTCTACCAGAAAATCAAAAAAGGACATGTCTCTTTTTTAAGATTACATGTACTTTAGTAAATATTTCAGCAGGCTGTAGATCTTTCCTACTTTAGGAATACTATGATTTATCTTCATGATGTAATATCATGGATGAATATTACCTGTAGAGTCAATAGTATATAGGAAAGGCTGAAAAATATTGTTTTCACCACAGCCTGTAGTCAGAACTTACAAGATGTCCCTTTTACTGAACTGTGGTGTTACTTCCAGTAACTTCGGTTTGATGTACATTTTTTTGCGGAAAAACTGTCTTCAGGTTTTTTTTTTATGAAATAGATTAGGTTATTTAGATCAGTGTTATGTCTGGAACTATGAGTGAACAAATATGCGTTTTAATTTTAGATTTTGTGTTATGTAATGACTGGTAAGCAGGGGTACCTACGTGTCTGTTTATGGATATATTTGTTGTTAAAAGTTGATCAGTATTGCCAAGGGAGCATTTATTAGATCATTTATAGATGTTCCCAAACTTTTTTTTTTAATCAATTTCCTGAATTATTCATGGAAATTATTTTCTCCTGTTTTGCTTAAAAGTATGCTAAATCATTTCATGAAACTCTAAGTCAATGTTCAACTGCATTCTCAAATCAAATCCACATTCTTTAAATGTTGTGCAATTAGGATAGTTATTGCCAAATTATAGATCCTATCATAACGACATTACACTACAGGGTAGTTAGTATCGTTACCAAATCTTTACTTTATTATCATGCATTGTGTCGTAATACATACCATTAACTGTGATAGTCTATTGTCAAGTTCATCTGTATTTCAATGGTAAATTTTCACTTCATTATGCTGAATATTACATGTCCATTCCCATTGAAAGTCTGCATGTTATGCACGAAGTAAAATCTGATTGGTTTTTAGGAGACCATGGAAGGCTGTGACTTGGTCTCTTGTAATTCATTTGTTTTTGAGAGATTATAAGGCATCAGTCTATTATAGGAAAGATAGTCACTTTTAAGGTATGGCCTCTAAACAAAGAGGGCTACTCTAAGTCACAGTTACAATGACAGATAGGCTGTTGTTGATCTCATTGAAAATTTTTCATTCTGATTGAATGAAGAGTCAGTGGTGGATTAAACTTCAGAGATGAGAGATGTGTAAAGAGGAGTCTTAAAACGAGAAAAATTAATTTGTATTGTAAACATTGAATGGGTATTGTTGTCTTATCATTTTCACTTTACTAGGTTTGGTTACTAATATCAGAAAAAGTTTGTATCATTGTCAGATCCATCTAAGGATTTTGTGAAGAATTGGTGATTTAAGTAACTTTTAAAAAGTTTGAAATGGGGAAAATGCAATAGGATTGTGTAGAACATTTGAGATATTTTGTTGCATAATTGAAATCTTCTGTTAGGATCCTGATGTAGCCAGATAGTAGATTTAAATAACACCTTAGTCACCATGGAGAGACTACCAGGCAAACAGAGCTAGAGTTTAGAATGCTAGCAGGAGACTTATATATATAATCAGTCGATTTGGAAGGCCAAAACATTAAAAAAAAATGCTATTTCTATAAAAACATATTCAAATGAAAAAATAAAAGCAATTTATATACCATTGTAATTATTGAAATTAGCACTGTGTGATATAAATTGGATGAATTATACATTTTGAAATTCTAGAGTTACTCGTAAAGTTTCTTATACATAGTTTCAGGCTTTATGGTATGCTTTTTGATTGATACAACAAACAAGTGACATGAAGTTTAACACATTTTCAGATATGTTTCTGGTACCATTGTACCTTTGCCTGTCAGTAGTGATTAAAATGTTTCTGTTTTTGTAAGTGATAGATAACTGAATTTTGGTTGGTGTTTTTTTGCTTTTTTTAACCCTTTGTGCTTTGCCAATCTAAATAGATGGTACGGTGTAGCAGATTAAATTCTCCACTGAAATATATGTCTACCTCTTAAATTCCTTCATCACAATTTTCAACACTATTGCCTGCATACATTCTATCATTTTGTGAAGGTCGTTTCTTCATATGATCGTTAAGATTCATTTAATGTAAATTACGTTGTCACATATATCATATGAAATGTTCTCATATATTTAACATATTGCAATAAATTTTCTTTTGAGTGGTAACTTCTTACCATCGCCGAGTAATTAAGGCTAAGTAATATATTGTTGAAAAAAATTATTTCAAAGGGTTAAATTTGAAATTTTGTTTCTTGAAAAATTCAACAATGATAAAGTTCCATTAAGTATCAGGCATTACAAAGATGCATACCCCGTAGTTCTGATTAAGTTTCATGTCTATCAGAAAGGATACAAGTTTAGTAATTTTACATATTATATATTTTTATTAAATGAGAATATATGGTTTCAGTTATTGTACCTCATTTCTAAGACTTTTGTTATTCTAATGGAAATTTTAATATTACAATGGTCTCTTTCCTTAACCTAAAAGTTTTGGACCCCTCCTAAAAAATTCCTTGAACCCATTGAGATTAAATTTCGTATCATTGCCTAGTGATACACTGTACTATTACCTATAAGATTACTGCAGGGTTTGTAACATGACTTTATCATGTACTTGAAAGAGCACCCCCAAAAGAAATGGTAAAAATCATTTCTGATGATTAATGTAAGCATCATTTCTAATGGTCAGTAATTTGAATTTTTTAAAAATTTATTTAAAAAATTGATTTCAACATAAAATATTCATCTAGTGACAATATCATTCTGTCCATGTAGTAGATAATTTTATCAACAATGAAAGAGAGACAGCTCCTTTACAAAATACATACTAGTGAAAGGTGGCATACACCCTTAAGAAAATATGAATAAACATGTGGAATTAATTATTGTTAATGGATGTAATGTATAAAGGCAGAATGACATGTCATTGATTATATTCTTTAGTATATTTTCGATAAATGTACACCTCATAATTCATAGTTGTAAGTAAGTTGGTATGTGTACATTAACAAGTTTTGCCAAATCTGAGTTTTTATTTTGTTGTTTAGTTGAAGAATTTACCTGGTGATAATCTTGACTGATTTCACATTTTGAAAAACTTATTTAATTCTGATATGTTAAAGTTCATTTAATAATCAATAAGGATGCTGTGGTTAGTTATAAATTTCAGTATAAGTGGTCTCAAGACAATCATATCTGATCAAAGTTTTAAATCACTGAACAGAGAATTTGACACATTAAACCATAGATTGATAAAGAAACAATAATTTCATATACACATATTTTGAATTAATTTGCCTTTCAGGTAAACACTAAATGCCATTTTGATATTCTGCATTAAATTTCAAGTTCAGTCATTAACACATAACAGTTTCTTGTGCAAACTTATTTTTTTTTATAAAGTCTTCCAGATCTCTGACTTACAACTACTTTTTATGTTGCCTTACTTTGCTGATTTTCTGATTTTTGCATACATTTACATGTGTTTATAGATGTTAACTTTGCATGATTTTCTGCTGTTAAAGAAATGTGCCACTTACTACAGCCTCACTTTCTTCTATGATTAAATCATTTAAGCTGAAAAAAATCTTTATTGATATTCATGTAGCCTTATGCTTTTGAAAGTCTACTTCTAGTGGACAATTGAACAGATATTAACCAACATAATTATGTTAGTAGGTGTTGCAATATCAGACTGTTATATTCATTTGACTTCTTTTGTGAAGATAGCAACTTATGAACTCTACAAGCCAGGTAATATTTATGTAATGTTGATGTACATTTTGCCATCCTTCATTAGAAGAACAAAGAACGTAGAACTTTGTTGGTACATGTATTCATATTTCACTCTCCATTAAGCTCTTGCTTAATTCCTGGCAAAATAATACATTATGAATATGAAGAATATGTCAAAATCAAACAACTTATGTGTCGTTATTGTTAACTGAATTTTTATTTTTGGAGGGAAAAGAAATGTCTTAGTGTGAATCTTTTAATTCCCAATATATAGATTTCAAAGTGGTTTAAAAAATTATTAATAGAAATTCTCATTTTTGTCTGTGATTAGTTTATACCCTTATATGGCATCTTTTTGCATGCAAATTACAGAGGATAAAATGGTAACTTTAATATTCAACGTATCGGGTTAAAATTTTAATTTAGAATTTTTTGAAACAAGCTGTCAGCTGGCTCTATTTCTGGCCTTTCTTCAGTCATAGTGAAGTTTTTACACTATACAAAACAATCCTTATAAACAAACTGGTTTCTTCTTTTACCTAGAAGAGTGGGTTACTTACTGGGATACCAGTATACTACAAAAAACAAAATTATTTAATATGATTATTTCTGTTTCCATGCTTTTTGGGGCATAATTTGTATGTTTTGCTTGTCTTCAGCATTGAATTGGTTAAATCTGCTTCAGTTGATATTATGACAGCATGGCATTAATAAATGTCTAAGTGAAAGATGAAATTGTTGTCAGTGTTATGTTTGATGTAATGTGTACAGATAAAAGTATCTTCAGCTTTACTTATTCCACACAAATTTTTTAATCACTTTGTGATTACCGTTTGTACAAGATATATCTTAAACTCCTGAACAGATTTGGTAAATATTTACACCATAGTATTAAATCATCTGGGTCAACACCTGGTGATATTTCAGTGGTAATTTGTCAAAGCTGAAGGTCAAAGGTCATCCTTGGCCACATTAAAAACAGAAAGCTACAATAACAAGTTGAGGATGGGGGAAACACCTATGCGATCTCGTGCTCACTGTGATTGGGGGAGCATATAGAGGCTTTGTCCCTTTTTCTGTCATTAATTTGTCCGGAACATAACACAAGAACTATGATAATCAACATAGAATTATAGATAAAATGAATAGATAGATCAAAACAAGGAAAAATGAAGTCTATTATTTTGCATAATTAAGGAGTTCATGTCCTTTGTTATTTTTCATACTTAAATTTTGTCCGAAGCATTACACTTAAACTATAAGAGGTATTAACACGAAACTTCATATGTAGATAGAATTTAACGAAGACATGTGCAGTCCACAAGAACCATCACTATCATTTGCATTATTTAGGAGTTTTTGCCCTTTGTTATTTTAAGCTCACCATCATCAGATAGTTGGCTATTCAAAATGCTCTGCGTCTGTGGCCTTTCGTCCATCTGTTGTCCATCCATCCATCCTCCCTGGGGAGGTGGTGCATACCGTAGGGCTTGACCCAAAAAGGGAAATTTAGCAAACTCTTTCAAATCTTTCTTCTGTAGAAATGATTGGTTTTTGTCCAAATTTGGTCTGAAGCATTCTTATGTGAAAGGTACTCAATTTTGTATCAGTTGTGGTTGGAGGGGTGGGGCTCATTAGAGAAATAGAGCAAATCCTTTTAAATCCTTCTGTGGGAATACCAAGTATTTTGTCCCAATTCGGTTTGAAGCATCATTGGGTGAAGAGGAATCAGTTTTGTATAAATGGTGTGTCTAAAGCCCTTTATGCCAGAGGCACTGGGCCCAATAGGGGAAATGGGCCAACTAATCTAAAATCCTTCTATCCGTGTAGGAATACCTGGATTCTGTCAGAACTTGGTCTGAAGCATCCTTGGTTGAAGGGAAATCAAGTTTGTCTTAGAGGTGGGCATCAGTCCCCTGGAGAGGGGAGGGACTTGTCCCACTTTGGTCTGAAGTATGCTTTGATGAAGGAGATTTGTATTAATGGTTTTGCTGACCCCCGGGGCAAAGGGGTTGATGCTAATGGGGTAAATAGATATAAGCCCTTAAAATTTTTTTCCTTTAGTTTGTATTAAGTAACTTCTGCCAAACAAAGTCATGAGAGCAATACAGACCCTATGGGCATCTTTTATATAATTAGTCTCTCTGTGTTTGGCCTAGTAAAACTCACACAGACATCTGACTACTTGATCACATCAGTTCCATAACAAAGAGTGCCTGTTCCTTAAACATTCATTATGGAGATATACTAAATATCTTTCCAGCCTGAACAGGCTGTGAACATAATCAGTTTAGCTCAAAATAACACATTATTCAATCACTGTCGTTCTGACATAAATGTTCAAGTGTTAGAATATAACACAGACAACAATATATTTAGACAGGTTTTATATATGGTATTCTTCAACATTATCAAGTACAGTTTGATTGATAAACAAAATCAGATGATACACAGTGTATTACTACAACCATCATGAAGCTGGTCATGCTACCATATCGCTTTAACCTAGATGTCACTGTAATAACTTATACATTTGTACATGCATTATTATCTTTTCTTATTGCTTGTGCAGCAGAAAATATTTTGGTTTTTATGGTAAAACCAACTTAAATGTTCTAAACATGGAGATCAAAGCATCACATTCTTCAACTATCAAAATTTTATTTAAAAACTAAGAAGTAAAACTTCAGAACTTAAAAAGAAAAAGTTCAAAATTTTCCAAGAAAATAACGTTCATCAACATCTCACTTATATATAATGTAGTCTCTAACATTCCAGGTACTGTTTATTTTCTTACAAGCATTTTATGTCTTTCAAAAGATCACACATTCTTCTAAAAAATGAATGGCAAGTCATTGTTTATTAGAGCTACAAGTAGATAATGTCTTATTCCATTATCTCTGGGGTGCAAGTAACTCTTCCACTGTACAAAGATCGATACTGTAATCACACAGAGAAAAACTGTTTTGGGAGTTACTTAGTCTATATTTTCAACCGTGGTCAAAGCCAGGTCAAAGCCTTCACACAGGCCTGTCCTATCATACAAAATTACAATCCAAACATCTTCAGGATTTCCATCTCCATCCACTCCGCTTGTCACCTTCATCGCATTCATCACAAACAGGCAGTCACAGTGTTCAAACATACACTCAGTATTCATACATATCCACAGTACTTAAACATACACTCCGTACTTAAACATACACTCCGTACTTAAACATACACTCAGTACTTAAACATACACTCCATACTTAAACATACGCTCCGTACTTAAACATACACTCAGTACTTAAACATACACATACACTCAGTACTTAAACAAACACTCAGTATTCATACATATACACAGTACTTAAACATACACACATTATTCATACATATACATAGTATTCATACATATCTACAGTATTTAAACATACACTCAGTACTTAAACATACACACATTATTTAAACATACACTCAGTATTCATACATATACACAGTAATCATACATATGTACACAACAGTTATTCATATCAGTCACATAAATATGCTGTATTCAGTAATAAAATGTCCATCAACTGATCTTTAAACAACACAACAGCTAATAATGAACTAAAAAGATTTTAGGATCAATAAAAATACTTTAGTTCCAGCCTATACCATTTAATTGTATGCATTGTATGTACAACAGCAAGTAAATAAATACTGCCCATTGATATATATCAAAAGTATTCATCCATGCCAAGCACACGCATAGCATTATTATCATAAATAAAGCCTAAAACACAGCATTAAGAAAGGAATTTCTGTTCCTGGTTTTAAAACTCATCTTTATTTATTTACAAGATCCTTTCCGTGAGGATATTATCAATATATATATATATATAATTGAGCATTTGTTTTAATCATTTCTTGCATTGCTATGAAGGTTACAAGCAATTTCTCACCATTCTGCATACCTAGCTGAGAACACTAGAAGTAAATAGCAATAGATACAGAGCTACATTGGATTGCCTCTCTGAATCCTTAGAAATTACATCTTAATCAACCAGGGTAAGCTTGCCATGGCCAAAGCTACTGATTATAGCCTTGCTCACAATTCCACTTTCTGATAACTTCTTTGTTGATTACTAGACTGTCCAAGTTTGGTGTGTACATTTTGAATACTTTAAATAATTTGAATTCCTGATCATGTATATATTATGTAAAAACAGAAATGTCAATTTCAATTCTGTTTATACATACATGCTACTAGACAAGCAAAATGAAGCTTACCAGTTAAATATATTTGATTGTAATTACCATCTATAAATCTTAGGACTGTAGGATAATATTTCAGCTTTGAAAGTACATGTACTCATTTCAACACACCACCAAAGACGTTTTTTAACATAACAAAATTAGATTTTTAAAAAATGCAGCTTTTTCCTAAAACAAAATTTTACAATTTTCCTCTCCTTTATTTTTGAGATCTTTGAAGTTTTCCCATTCAAATCTGACACGCAACAAGTATTTTCCTGTTATGATTTGACATGACAAGTTTCATAAGCATAGTTATTTTTGGACAATGTAAAAACGCATTTCCTACACGTATAGGTCCACTTTACTTGTTTATTGCAGGCAATTAGTTTTTACACATATATTATTTTGCTTCCTCTGAATATACACCCACAAATCCAGGGATGCATTCTTGTTTGCCATTCTAGCTGTGTAATTGTTAAAGATATAGCAGATATTCATTGTAGCAAGCATCAAATGTAACTCTGATATTTCGCATGGAGAAACTGTATGTTATTTGATTCAACAAAACATGACATTATCATTTTCTTATGGTATCAAAATTGCATGCCTCTACAAGATTGGCTTGTCAACCATTAATATTGTTTATCTTTAAAACTTAACATTGAGTAGCTCATATAGACAACTCCCCAACCCACCAACAGACTTCATAAACTCCTGGCTTTTGAAACAGCATTTTCTTAAATAATTCTAAAATGATAAGCTTTTAATAGCACAATCACAATGACAGATCGTTCATGGTGACTTTCCCTCATTTTCTTAAATTTAGATTTACAAAAATTCCGCAACTCATACCAAATAAAAATTTCATAATCAAGATTCGCAAAGGTTCATAAAATATTGCGATTACAATGGACTTGTCTGATTCTGTATATATGGCTATCCCCATCCTTCTTCTGTCTGAATTTCATGGATAATTGCATGTTCTTTTATTGTGAGGTACTTGAGTGAGTCTTGAACAATTTCACTGATGTGAGTACCATACTCCATGAAGAGCAAATACTCGTGAAGTATGGAAGGCACAGGAAGACTACACACACTCTCTTTATTGTAACACCCTGATGATGCGAACTGTTGGACCACTTTTTTACGACAGGCATGAGACAATGTCCCACTGGAATCTGTAAGACAAAGATAATGCAATGACTTCAAAACTCAACAGATGTAATTTATGATTTAGTACAGATCAAGAACAATAAAAGACAGACTCATATATAAGTATATTTAATTGTAAAACTGATCCTCCATATAAAAAAGTCCAATTTCAGATAAAAACAAGAGACTCAGACGGCCTGTTTTTCTCACCTGGATATTTAAGTCAATAATGCAAAACTTTACATTTCTTTAGAAGGAAAACATTTCCACTGGTAAGCCTCACTCCAGACCCACCATTTACACAGTATTCGTTCCCCTTTCCCCAAGGATGCTTTAGACCAACACTGATAAAAATCTCATGAATAGTTTCAATAAATAATAAAAGTTGACAGACAACTGATGTCAGATGCCTGATGTGTGATGCCAGACGGATGCTGAACGCCACAGTATCCCTATAGCTCACTTGGCCCATCGGGCCAGATGAGCTAACAACTAAGACAGACACAGGTACCATGTAGTATACAGTAATTCTATATATCAACCTTTAAGCTGCATGTATGCACTTGTTGATGATTTCCCTTTTATTTAATTTATTGAACTCAGAAATATAAACAAAAATGAAGGAAATTTTCCTATAGTGAAGTAGTGCTTCATTTGAAAAACTTAAGAGATAACCCAGGGAATGTTGGTGAAAATTGGGACATGTCAGAAACAGCAAAATAAACTACATTACTGTACCTTCAATCTTCTTCAGTAATCTGTCTGCCTTGAACTGCTGTGCCAGAGCACACAGTTTTTCGTCCAGAGACACATTACAAGTGAAACACAGAAGTAGCACAAGTAGAGGAAAAAGATTGGTCCACTCCACTGAGCCTTGTAACACATGGTGTAGGTCAAAAATCAGTTCCTCTGTGACCATATTAAGAGCACTAAAACAGGACTGGGCATTAGCACCAGCCATCAGTAATGGAATCAGATATTTTCCAAACAAGTTCCGTCTAGTTTCCATATCTATCACAATCAACTTAGGCAGCATGTCATTTCTCAAAGCCAACAGAATAGGCAGGTTACCACCAACACGGTCATGGTAAATGTTCGGGTTAGCACCGTACTTCAGAAGAAGTAGAAACAAATTGAAATCTGCTTTAGACAAAGCAGATATCAAGGGAGGTAGCTCCTGTGGATTCTGTATATTGCACGGAAGACCAGCACGGAGCAAGAATTCAATTCCCTGACTAGGCCAACTTTCCTCTACTTGACAGAGCACTGAGGCACTGTTATCATACTGCAGCACAGTAAACAGCAGATGTCTGTCCATCTCAAACAAATCCTGATTCAATGGAAGAAATGCTTTCACATTCAATCCTGCAGCGATGAGGATTTCCAGGCAAGTTGTATTTTTCAATTTCAGACCAAGTATTAATGGATGCATCATAGTGTCGACCGTGTTAAAAAGAACTTCTTGTCTAGTCACTGGTAATACTAACTGTAGGCACCTGACAAATAAAGAATGAGATGACATTCTTTACATATTTCTCGATTAATGTGACGTTGATATAAACAGCTACAATTCTTTAAACTGCAGCAAGTAAAATAATTGAAATAAATTTGAAACTTGAATATCAAACATGAGCTGCTTGAAACCATCCTAAATAGTTAATATTTGTGAAGAATAAACTGGAAATGAAGAAACTTTTAGTTGGCATATCCTTAACATTTCCTTTAAATGTATTTAAAAACAACTAATTAAAGGATCTCCAAACCATTGTCCTTTTAACATAAAGGTATTGAAGACAAACAAATGGCTACCAAGGGATGATATTGGCTTCAGGAAAATATTTCACTGGATTTTTTTAAAAAGATTTGAATGGCATTTGTGATGCGTATGTACTGATCATTCTTTGGAATATGTTTATTTCTACAAATGATTTTAATACCCATACTGTAGAATAATTCTGGAGGTATTCTTGGTTATTCAGAATTAATTAGCAGTAGAAATGTTTTGACAAAATAGCTAAGAAATATTTTGTTAACTGCTTTGTGAACTAATCTTCTTCTGTGTACGTTCATGCAGTCTTGCTGTGTCTAGAAACACCCTTTAAACCAGTGATATTTTGGGCAGCATATTCCTATAAATTATAATAAAATTTTGATGACTTGTCATAGTCTTGACAACTCTGACACATAAACCGCTTCTAAAGCATATGATTCGAACCTTGGTCTGTCTTTATACACAGCAAAGTGAGCAGCCACAGCGTTAAGATCTTTGACAGGAATGTTAGGATCAGCACCATAGCTCAGCAGTAAACGTATGCAGTCTTCATGACCCTCTTGGGAAGCTATCAGAAGGGGTGTGGCATGGTCATGTGTTGTCTTATTTACCAGATCCATTTGACCTACAAAAAGATACACAAAAACAAAATCGCATTCACTAAAATCCAGAGTTTAAAGATTTACTACTTTTGCAACACAATAAAATAAGAATGCTCCTTCTTTTCAACTTAGCATAATGTGAAAACTTAAATTAAATATGAAATTACATGATTAAATATAAAATACTAGTCTGTTACCCTTCTCTCTGGCAGTTTGTAAAAGAATTTGTAAACAGTCCTTGTGCCCAAATTGTGATGCGAGGAATATTGGCGTAATATCCACATCAGCACACATATCAAGTCTTGCTCCATGCTTGACAAGATAGTCTAAGATATGGGTGTAGCCCCGCTCAGCAGCTGCATGGAGGGGTGTAAACCCTGTGTAATTCTGGTAGTTTATCTGAACTACGGCACCCTTCCTCATCAAGAGTCTCACACATTCAAAACTCTCTGCACTTATTGCTACAATTAAAAATTAACAAATATTCAAACCATAACACAAAAAAGTTATCACTAGGATTTAATCAATGATACATCTATTTCACTGCTTTGATTTTTTATTATCATTATTTAAAAAGAACATGAAAATCTAATGCTGAATTAGAGATAACATTGATGGTTGCAAGCGTCAAACATATAGAACATATTTATATTTAGAACATGTAAATAACTCCAATTCTGCACCAATTTGAAAATATATACACTCACATTAAACAGTTTTACAGCTACATCATCAATGTAACGTGTCTCCTTACATAAATGACATTAATTTATCAGCACAGTTTTATTTCAAATATCTTACCTATAAATCTCTTGTATCTCTATTTTCATGATACTCAAACACTTTCAAACATGCTAATTTTAAATCCAAATTATTTCAACATGACAATTTTCAATCCTAATTATTTTCAAACAGAATGGTTTTCAATCCTATCTATACACCTGTACTTACCCTCCCATAAAGGTGTATATCCCTCCTTTGTTTCAGCTGTTGGGTCAGCATCACAGTCCAGTAATGTCCGTACACACTCAAAGTGGCCGCCTCGTGCTGCCAAGATCAGGGCAGTTTCATCCTCAAAAGTCCTCCATTCTGGTTCCACCACATCTGAGTATCATAAGGGTTATAGCAACAAAATCATGTATAGAATCAATGGTCAGAACTTGGCAAGTTCTATCAATCATTCAATTGCAAATTTAGCATCCAATAAATGAGTTATGTTCTATCTTCATTTAAAGAAATAGACATACCTCACATATTTGGTTGAAAAGGTTACAATGTGATTTTTCAAAAATATCAAAAAAATTATTGCATTTATTCAGAGATTTTCATTAAGAAGAGAAGAAGGGGATGAAAGCCAACACTGGTTTAACTTCAGTGGTGGATACCTAAGCCTTTCGTCTGGATACCAGAATGTATGCAGTGTGATTGATGGAGGAGTGAAAAGTAAAAAAGTTAAAGTCAATCACAACTGGTGAAGAGGCTGCGTGCATCAATTTTATGTTATTTAATCTGTTTTGCTCTACACTGGCTTAATTAATACAGAGATTTCATGAAGTGACTTTTTAAATCAGTCATGCTTTGAACCACCTGTTGATCCCTATTGAACTTTTACAGTTAGCAGACCATCAGCTCCAACATTGGCTCAGTCTAATACACCACAGGTATCTGGACTATTTAAAACATAAAGTTGAACTGACCTTGACGTAAAAGGAACTCGAGACAGCCAGAGTGACCATGGAAGGCAGCTTCATGGATTGGTGTCCATCCCCTGTTGTCTCTCACATCCACTGGTTTCCCTGCAAAGTTGAGTTTTACTCAGTTATGTTGTTAAATGATAAAACATACCCATCTTGTAAAGGTTGATGTTATTCCACTGGAAACTTCGATTTTTGTAATTCATTGTGTATTTCAATCTGAATAACTGCTAAGTTTGGTTCCATTTTGAATGCGAGATGGTTACCTTGTTACCACAGTGTATATTACATAGCAAAAAGGCAACAAAATCACATGCTTCCTTTTTTATTTTATTACATTACACCCATTACCTAACAGGAAAGTTAATGCTATCCTACACATGACTGGACATCTATGTTTCTTATGTACAGTTGGTCCCCTCCTAGTTACATCACATACATGAAATTCTGACCCTTTTTTCAAACAGCAAACAGATACAATATTTTTATGTTTTAGGGATAAATGTTTGGAGAAACCGTTAGTACTGACCATGCCACACTAGGTCCTGGACACACCCCAGATCCCCCATGCGGGCGGCCATACCCACTGAAGAACAGGTATCAGTGTATGATTCCGTAAAGTCCATGATTATTCTTCCCTGAAAGAGAAGCAGCAATGGATACAATATTTCAGTGAAATGATTTCCTCTCATACCACTGTTACCTATATTTATATTTCCAAGTGCCATTATATAGTATCAAACACTGATAACAATATTTTTGTGTATCATAATTTTCACATGTCACATGGTGATCCCTAAAATCATTTGTTACGCAAATAACGTGTCACAATCTAAGGTGACCCCATTTTTGTTGGGGAAGAGAAAAACTGATCTCAAGAAATGATAGTCGGCATGTGATTTAACATATGAATCTGATCTGTTTCACAAATTTGTGATTAAACGGTGTGTGGGGTTGATGGTTAGGTAGCCTTGAAAGTATTCATTTTTCATAACCATTTATTTTTAGTTTAAACATGTACAGATATTGCAGGAACGGAATAGTGTTGATGATGCTCTTCTTGTACAATGTGATTCAAGTTGTTCATGACTATATATTTATACATTACTGCTAACTGTTTGCAAGAAGTACTCTGTATTTTAATCTCAACAGAGATTTAATCTGCAAATGGTGCTGCCTTTGTCGGAATACACCTGCTACATATATTTTTGCTGTTTATAAATAGTTGTTGAAATAAGCGATTTTACATGTCGTTATGAACATGTTCATCTATGAAAATTCATAAAATTGCTATTATCTCCAATTAAGTTTGAAAATATTTTTCTGTGCAGAACAATTACTTTGTTGTCATTAGGCATAATTAAGCATTAAGTAATGTCAACATCAGGTAAACACAGACTGAACAACAAAACTGTTCAAGTTTCAATAGTCTGCTTTTCAATCAATGTTGCAGGATAAATAGAATGCATGGTCAGTGTCTTAAAACATAAACTGTATTTTGGTGAGTGTGAAGAAAGACAAAAGTGGCAAGCCATGCTTTTGTCTTTCTGTCTCGTGTCAAAATACGACTGATATCTGAAAACACTGACCGTTTATTCTCTATATACATTGTAGGTTGAAATATTTCCTGTGATGTTTATTCTAGTTTTACCAGGAAGATTTCATAACGTATGATGTGAAACTGCTTCAGTGTGCTTAATGGAAATTCAATAAGTGATGCTGAATGTAGTTTTGAATGTTGACATACCAATTTATTCTTCAATTTTTAATGAATATTTTTATGCTTCAAGTGGTGTCTCCAACACATACTGCACCAGCCCCGGGGCAAATGGTGAATAACCCCAACGTACCAATAAATCGCAACCCTATTTCAACTATCCGTTGGCAATTAAATCTGACACTTAATGGAGATGTTATGATCTTATCGTAATTATAATCATAGAAGTGTAAGGGTCCGGCAGTGTAATACAAGACGCCAACTTACCAGACTTTCTCAAAATAATGGACTTCGCGTATACTTACAGAATGTATTTTGGAATGGAATGAGTTATTTGGACTCTGCTGCTTATCCATATCATTAAGCGTTTACCAATGGTAACTTGCAAACGGTAAACATCGTCGCATTTCTGCACAGTTTGCAAAATCAGGGCCTATCCTTGTTCTCTTGGAGCATGGTTTATTATTGTGTTTCGGTAGCCAAATGATGACACTTGATTGGTTAAAATTAATACAACCCGTTTGCTCCGGAACTGTTGTTACTGTAATATGTACACTTCCGGTATAGGTTCGTAAGAGATTCGCACGTTAGCAATATTAAGTGTGTGTTCTTCTCTAAGTCGTTGCCTAGTCTTGTGCCCGTAAAGACTCTGAAACAAGCTTTACATTTTCTCACAATGGGATCTTCTAAGAAACATAAAGAACGAGACAAAGACCACAAAAGGAAACGCCGGCACAGGTCAAGATCTCGCTCCAAAGAAAGAAAACGACATCGGGAGGATCGTTATGAGCAAGTGCATGAGGATAATTATGAAGATGAAAGCCATGAGAGGGATAGGGATATAGAGACATTTGACTATAACCATGGATCTGCACCACCTGTCGAAAAATGTAAGTAGGATTCACGAAATATTGCGGATGCTTGAGTGTGTGTGGTTCGGAAGGGGGGGGAGTATTTTGGCAAAGTAGTTGCCTACAATCTACAATATTTATGTTGAAAGCTTAGACCAAACTCGAGTAGATAGTTTATCGACCTGTGAACAAAAAGCCGTCATACAACCTACACTCTCATAAACTAGCTGCTAAATGCTATGATGTAGGCACTGTGCAAGAGGAAGCACAATGTATATACATATGGTCACGGACATATAATACTATGATACTTAGAATACTCATTTCAATACTAAGTTGTTTCAACACCAAATAATTTTGGTGCTTGCAAAAATGGTTTATACAGCTAGAGTGTCATTTTAAGTAAACAGTTTTTCAGTAGTGGAATGAACAATATATATTAATGACAAAAAATCTGAAAGACCTAATTAGATACATAAATCAAAGCATTTTTGAAAGTACAGAATGACTTGGGAAGTACCGAAACAACTTGGTACCAAAACAAATTGTGCACTAATATGGAGGGATAAGAAACTATGCCCAGCAGTGACTTCTCTGACTTTAGCATTTGTGTTTGTACTCAGAGCCGTGAAAATCCCTTACCTTTCTGCTGTTAATTTAATCTTATCTACCTCTGCCTCTGATGTGGCAAGTGTAGAGCCTGCTTGTCAGAATTGAAGCGCAATCAGAAATTACTCAGCATTTTAATGCCACCAATTTGAAGATGGTTTTCACCATATCACGGGCAGAATGTGGTATGCAATATAGGATGGTATTTCAGTTGAAAATAGCTTAAACATACATTTTGTTTTGCGAAAGTTAACAAAAATTATGTGTCACAAAAGTTAGCACTATCAATTTGAAAATTATTAAGGTTTTTAATTCTGTTAATTTTGAAAAGATTAGTTGTGTTCTTTTGGAGAAAAATGATTTATGACAACGGCAAGGCTAATTAACTTGCATACTCAATACTTCAGAGGGTCACAATCACTTTTGCTCTCTGCACCTCTGGAACATGTTGATGCATCAACTCAATTTGTCAATCTGATATCACATTGATTGCAAGAGACACTGATGCATTTGTTTGGTTATGTAGCTCTTTATATAGACTGAGTTCAGCTTTTCTCTGTTCTGTAGTTTTAAGATAATATTGTGTTGTATCATATCTGTGCATGTTTTAGTATTTAAATCCACAATTAAATGACCAGGAAATTAGAAATTAGTTTAAACATGCTTTAATCCAGATTGGATCTATTTTCTAGATCAAGTTCTTTAGCATTATGGGTTTAAATTTGTTAATGTACATGTTACATTTATTTGCATTTTGGTAACCTTTTAGTATGTTTTTATTTCCACATGAATGTTTGAATTGAAATTTTGTCTGTTATAATTATTTTTTGACCAATCAATGTTAGAAGATCACAGTCTGCTCTTGGAAATAGTTTCAGAGAGCCAGTTTTTTTTTTGTTTGTGTTGGGATCAAACCACTTTAAATTTCCAATCACAATACCATGAAGTGCTCACTCTAAATACTTAACCTGTATTTTGAGTCAGTAAGAGTCACATGACAGATAATAGAATGACTCATGAAATTAGATGTAGAGTAAAATGTTATAGAATCAATGAACTGAACATGTGTTACATATGTCTGTCTTAAAACAGGAAACTTCTATTTTATACACAATTGACAGAGACGAAATCACAAGATCGTTTGTGATCATATAGCCCTAGTAACCAGGTTACTGGCAAATGAGATACAGGTGATGATTTTGTAGATGAGAAGTTCTTTTCATGCCCTCAGAATAAAAGAAATTATCATATACTGATAAACAGTCAAAGAGTATTTTGATGTTAAAGAAAAATTGATGTGAAATTGGTAGTTTTTATACACCAGTCGAAAGAAGGGACATATTATATTTTCACGCGGGCGGGCAACGGGCGCAAAGCCATACATAGGTTTCCATTCGATAACTTGAATAATTTTTTATAGATTAATTGGAAACTTCACATGAAGGTTTATTACCAAAAATGTCAAGTCAAATTCATCAACTTAAATTTTTCGCCCCTTATTTACAGAGTTATGGCCCTTGGTACATTTGCAAAAATTCATAACCAGTTATGAATCAAAAATATCCTTTGCTACAAATTGCAGTTTTTCAACTGTTAAATTTAAAGAAATTCAGGATGGGAAACCATAATTATTGTCCAGTTATGGCTTGCATATTTTGAACTCTTGTTGGTTTTGTTTTTGTTGATCTTGTGGGTGCTCTAAATCTTTGGATTCATATATCAGGAGATTAGTACACTGGTGTTTTTGTACTTATAAAAGTAGATTTAGTGAGCTGTATTAAGCCACTAAATTAAGTGTCCAATAAAAAGTACGTTTGTATTTAAAAAAAAAGCATAAAAATTAGGTCCTATGAAAAAACATGTATGTAATTTTACAGTACTTAAACTTTATACAGACACATTTATAGACCCCAGCATTAGCAAAATTGCCAACAACTTTTACAGTGTGAGTGATACAATGGCATATTTCTTGATCTTACAAACTCCTGTCAAGTAGGTGGCTACTGGTTTGCCAATTTCAAACAGGATGTTTAAAGTTAATTTTTCTAATACAACATAGGGCCTCAAATTCTCATTTCTGTATTGATAAGCCCTTGCAAAAATTGATATGGATCAGCTTTTTATGATGATTTGGTTTTTTTCATTTTTCATATGGTAATCAAGTAAGTTAATGAAATACATACAGTAATTTATTTCCCTGTCATTACATTTGTGCTTTATTTTGTAGCACAACCAGCATTGTCATCATCTGGAGGTGGGGAAGCATCTCTCAGCATTGAGGAGACAAAGTAAGTGGAGTGTCGACTTTCTCTTTTTTTCTCAGTTTAAAAATTGAGAATAAATTGTGTTGAGTTTTTATGTTAAATTTGAAACCTCTTTAAAAATTTCTAGGCAATGAAATGAGATGATACTTGTCTTTGAGGTTGTAAACTATAGACCAGTGATTTTGACATCTCAGACCAGTTTTTTGGTTTCTCATGTCTGGTTGCAGAATCTGGTAAAGTAACTGAATGAATAATGAAAGTTAACATGTATGGATGCTTAAATGGAACTGTACTTCAGTAGAGTACAAGAATATTTCTACCAAATAATTCAAATTTGGTATTTCGTAGCACATTTGAAACATTTTTTTAGGGATTCTGAAGACATGTTTTGACAAAAACATTTTCAAAAGCTAATTTTTTATCCCCTGATCAGGATTATGCAAGAGGTTACTTTGTATTCTGAAGATCAATACAGCCACATGTATGCAATTGTCAGAGCTTGTGGCTTGATAAATCTGTGGATCACTTGACATTATAAAATCTATGGCTGGAGATAGATTTAATGTAATCAGAAATGGCAGCATAAATGTTTCCATATTGATACACTGCCTTTATAATCAACAAGTGTAACTTGTTTTTGATTACTGGATTTTCAATGAGTTGTCAAATTTTCCAGCTGTGATCAATAATCACAATGGTAGGTACATGTATATAAACGTACATTTTACTTTTTCAGTCGAATCCGAGCGAAACTGGGACTGAAGCCTTTGGATGTGAATTCAGGACCATCTCAAGGTACCTTTTCTACATATTTCTAATCCATGGATGTTAAACATTCCTGCTGATTCAAAATCAAGTTTTATGGTAGATGAGGAACAATGAAGCATTTGTTGGGCATATTCCCAGATAACAACAGCAACCTCCTTGGATTATTTGACATTTTTACATGTTTAAAGATAATACATCTATTTTGATTTTATTATGATTTTTTTTTATTAAAATGATCACCTTACCACAATTCAGAACTATTCTTTAGTGTGATATTTTCTATTTAAAGTTTATAGAATAGAAAAGAATTACAAACAATTTTTCATTGCTTGCTAGGAATTATTCATAAGTTTCTGGTTTAACGATGGTAATATTTTGAAATTTGATTTTTGTAATTATTTTAAAGAGGGAGAGAAAAAAAATGATGAAGATATACACAAGCCTGCTGTCAGTATTACACAAGAAAAGCAAACACAAAAAATACGTGAAAAGATGGAACGGATGAAAGAGAAAAGAAGGCTGAATGAAAAACTAAGGTAACATATACCGGTATTTGCTGAAAGATGTCACCATTTTCTTAATTACACTGTTACACAAATCAGACTGTGGTTGTTAATAAAAACAAAAAAATAGCACTTCGTACTGAGGAATATATCTACCCATACTTTGTCCAAACTGGACCTATATCTAAACTTGTCAAATAATTTGGTCCTGAAAAATTCCTTTATTATTTCACTACCTGTATGGTAATTTAATTTTGCCTAATCTTGACATCAATCTGTTGGTTATTTGGACAATATTTTTAGTCCAATTTCTTCTATTCTTGATAAAATGTTAATTTTGTGAAAAATAAGACAACAGCTGAGAGAAGTCAAGGGCAAATATGAGTTTAAAACAATCAGCAAATTTTTCAGTCTAAATTTTTAATTGTCAATGTTGAGAGCTTAACAGTGTAATGACCACAAATGAAGTAGTCATGTATATTTTATCAGTAAGATATCTTGTTACTACTCCTAATATGTAATATGCTAAACTATTTTTATTCATTCAATGAAATTGGTTTTTCAGACTTTCTGCAATACCTATGTGAAATATGTCATTACTAGCTCTTTGATTTTGTTTTTATTTTACAAGGCAAAGACCTTAATGCAGACCTCTATACAATCAGGAACATTACAAACTGGCTAAATCATCTGGTCCAAGTTTTGTCCAATTCATACAGATTCCACTATATTCAATAACACATGTAACAAAAACTTTTATGAGAAAGAGACAGGAGCTTTTTGACAAAAATAATGGGTATGTATTCATTGGTATGGTGGTATGGTCCTTAAAAATGGTTTCTAAATAATGGGTATGTATTCATTGGTATGGTGGTATGGTCCTTAAAAATGGTTTCTAAAGAAACAAACTTTTTTTATTGTTGTAGCAATGTGAAGACATTAGGAGAAAGTGATTCAGAAGATGACATGGTAACTTGGGTGAGAAAAAACAGAAAGGCACAGAAAGATAAAGAAAGGGCAGAGAAAACTGTGAGTGTCAGGGGTTTCTGTAAATAATATCTTAACCCTGTGATTGATTACAAATCCATGATGTTTAAGAGAGTATTTTCAACCATTTGTCAGTATTTTAAACCTTAAAAAACATCATAGTTGTCCTAATCTTGGTTGGAGGTTTAAGGAATATTTCTACAATGGACAATAAAATTAACCTTGTCCTTAGTCCATTTACAGGGTTTAATGTTTTGTGACCATGTTCATGACAATTAGCTTTCACTGGAAAATGTTGTGGATACATTTTGAGAATATTTGTGAACATAATCACAAATAAATGAAAATTTTGTAGTTTTCTTTTCTGCAGTTCTGATTCTATTACCTTTTCCTTTGAATGTTGAAATTTGACAGCTGACGATAGACAGAATATAACTTGGTGTTTATTATAATGATTTAGAGCAATATCAATATTATGGATATTTGAAGAAAACTTTCACGAGTTATGTCCCTTTAGTACTTCCTTTAGCCATGATCCTCACTCAATCATGTAATTCATCTTAAATGTTTTGGTAATGTTAATAAGTTGATAGCCTCTGGTGTTCAATAATATCAATCTTTTGTTGTTACAGGCAAAAATGTTGGAAGAGATGGACCAGGAGTTTGGTATTGGTAGCTTAGTGGATGAGGAATTCCATGTTAAACCTAAGAATGTAAGTAACACATTTCATAGAAGGACTGAACATATGTATCCAGAAATCATAAGATGAACCATAGATAACATAAAGTTACCATATTGTATAAAATATTTCATAGTTTGTCTGTTTATGCATTTAAATTTTAGTTCAAATTAATGGATTTCAGAATTACACTTCCAAGGACCTGAAAGGTCTGAAGGTACAACACAACACAGAGAGGTTCAAAGAGGGGAAAACAGTCATCCTCACTCTCGAGGACAAGGGTAGGTCATTCGTAATGCAATATTGCATATATATATATATATATATATGTATATATATATAGTAATCACTTCAATTCTTTATCTGTATGTCTAGATTTCTTTACCATATTATCACCCTTTACATGCCATAAAGCCAAGAATTAAACCATTGTTCCACACAAATCCTATATGTAAACCTTTAGAATTTCATGAATTCAACTCTTGTCTGTCTCTCTGTTCTCTATTGTCTCTACTGACACTTGACTTGTCAGAGTTTTGGTTAAGCAACTTACCATTTACAAATGAGAGTTAAGAATTGTAAATACTGAAATAACATCACAGTTTAATGAGGCAGTTGTTAATGATGTATATTTAAATGCTACATTGTTATATCCTCTTACCATCATGTTTTCATATAGGAATCTTGGATGAAGACAATGATGATACTCTCATTAATGTCAATATGATTGATGAAGAGTTCACAGAGAAAAACTTAGAGAATAAAAAGAAGAAATCAGATTATCAGCCATATGATGAAGCTGATAAGGATGAGTATGGAATGGTGGGTACACTGTTTAATGTCTGGAAGTAATTTGTCTGGCTGTTTTATGTCTAGTATCCGTCTGGTAGATTTATATCAAGTATCTGCCTGGTAGATTTATATTTGGTACCATTTGTCTGGTGTTTTTATGTCTGGTACTATTCGTCTTATAATGTTATGTCTGGTGTTTTTATGTCTAGTACTGCTTGTCTGGTAGTTTTATGTCTGGTACTACTTGTCTGGTAGTTTTATGTCTGGTACTGCTTGTCTGGTAGTTTTATGTCTGGTACTGTTTGTCTGGTAGTTTTATGTCTGGTACTACTTGTCTGGTAGTTTTATGTCTGGTACTACTTGTCTGGTAGTTTTATGTCTGGTACTACTTGTCTGGTAGTTTTATGTCTGGTACTACTTGTCTGGTAGTTTTATGTCTGGTGCTACTTGTCTGGTAGTTTTATGTCTGGTACTACTTGTCTGGTAGTTTTATGTCTGGTACTACTTGTCTGGTAGTTTTATGTCTGGTACTACTTGTCTGGTAGTTTTATGTCTGGTACTACTTGTCTGGTAGTTTTATGTCTGGTACTGCTTGTCTGGTAGTTTTATGTCTGGTACTGCTTGTCTGGTAGTTTTATGTCTGGTACTGCTTGTCTGGTAGTTTTATGTCTGGTATTGTTTGTCTGGTAGTTTTATGTCTGGTGCTACATGTCTGGTAGTTTTATGTCTGGTACTGTTTGTCTGGTAGTTTTATGTCTGGTACTACTTGTCTGGTAGTTTTATGTCTGGTACTACTTGTCTGGTACTACTTGTCTGGTAGTTTTATGTCTGGTACTGTTTGTCTGGTAGTTTTATGTCTGGTACTACTTGTCTGGTAGTTTTATGTCTGGTATTGTTTGTCTGGTAGTTTTATGTCTGGTACTGTTTGTCTGGTAGTTTTATGTCTGGTGCTACTTGTCTGGTAGTTTTATGTCTGGTACTACTTGTCTGGTAGTTTTATGTCTGGTACTACTTGTCTGGTAGTTTTATGTCTGGTACTGTTTGTCTGGTAGTTTTATGTCTGGTACTGTTTGTCTGGTAGTTTTATGTCTGGTACTACTTGTCTGGTAGTTTTATGTCTGGTACTACTTGTCTGGTACTACTTGTCTGGTAGTTTTATGTCTGGTACTGCTTGTCTGGTAGTTTTATGTCTGGTACTACTTGTCTGGTAGTTTTATGTCTGGTATTGTTTGTCTGGTAGTTTTATGTCTGGTACTGTTTGTCTGGTAGTTTTATGTCTGGTGCTACTTGTCTGGTAGTTTTATGTCTGGTACTACTTGTCTGGTAGTTTTATGTCTGGTACTGTTTGTCTGGTAGTTTTATGTCTGGTACTACTTGTCTGGTAGTTTTATGTCTGGTACTGTTTGTCTGGTAGTTTTATGTCTGGTACTACTTGTCTGGTAGTTTTATGTCTGGTACTACTTGTCTGGTAGTTTTATGTCTGGTACTGTTTGTCTGGTAGTTTTATGTCTGGTACTACTTGTCTGGTAGTTTTATGTCTGGTACTACTTGTCTGGTAGTTTTATGTCTGGTACTACTTGTCTGGTAGTTTTATGTCTGGTACTGTTTGTCTGGTAGTTTTATGTCTGGTACTACTTCTCTGGTAGTTTTATGTCTGGTACTACTTGTCTGGTAGTTTTATGTCTGGTACTGTTTGTCTGGTAGTTTTATGTCTGGTACTACTTGTCTGGCACTACTTGTCTGGTAGTTTTATGTCTGGTAGTTTTATGTCTGGTAATATTTGTCTGGTAGTTTTATGTCTGGTGCTACTTGTCTTGTAGTTTTGTATTTTGTTATATCTGTCACATAGTTTTATATCTGGTGATAGTATCTGTGTGACTGTTTCATGTCCACCATAATATGTAAATGGGTAATCTGCTGTTGTACATCTGACTAGTGATATTTGTGATAATTCCGAGTCCTAGTGTATACAATTTATTTCTCTTTTGATCCATCTTACATAACACAGAGTAAAAGTCACTATTCAAGAGAAAAATGCAACAAATTTTAGAGTTAATACACAATAAATGTCAGGTCTCTCAAGATAAGTAATTTCTTTATCAGTCCTATAAGAAGTCGGGACAAGGAATATGATTTGCTGGTTAACGTTGTGAAAGGCAGTAAAAATGAGTAAGCTTATTACCTGTTATGGGCATGCTTCCTGGTAGATATGGAATGATGAAATGCTATTGCTGATACATGTTTGTTGGTAGGGCATAAATATTTTATACAATTATAGATATGATCAATATGTTTTCAGTTCAAACCGGTGAATGTTTTGGAAAAATATGATGAAGAAATTGATGGTGCAAAGAAGGAAACATTTACACTGGAGTCGGGAGGGAAGTACAACATGGAACAAGATAGACAGATGGAGAAAATTCGGGAACAGATTCAACAACAGAGTGTAAGTATATATCTATAGGTCTCATGATTTGTCTGGTTATACTTTTGTTGACAAACCCAGTAATAGCTGGCAGTCCCCAGCAATTTCATCAGAGATTGAGGTGTTCAAATGTGACCCTGACATTCAGTGTCCTACCTGCCTTGCAAAAGTACCAATTTTCGATATATTAAACAAACATGATTTATTTGACTCAAATTACCAAATTCAGTTAAAGTCAATAGTGAAAAAAGGTGAAAGTGAAAGTAATAGTAGTTTATGTCTTTTACATGTAAATGAAATTTAACCAGATGTTTTTGTGTACTTCCTGGTTGGTGTTATTCTTTAATGATTTCTTGTTAATAAATACTGGTCACATTATAACAATCAACTACTTTCGTTATAGCACAGCCTTGGATTGGGAGTGTCATTAAATGTGGCTAAGGAATACTTCACAGCAGAGGAAATGGTAAGTTCACATTTATATATTTGTCTTCTATGAAAGCACAAACAAATTCTAAGTACTGAAGGGTTTCTCATCATAGAAATGCTTTCATATGTTGTCTTTAAGTCTCGACCTACATATTTAGTATTTATCACAATGTTATGGCGCTCAAAACAAAGATATATACCATTCACAAAAATTTTATTTTAAAACCTTGAAGCATAAATTATTTATTGATCTCATAAGCTTAAGCTCACACCTTTCTTATTGCAGGCAGCAAAAGCTACATTTAAGAAACGGAAGAAGAAAGACAAGAAAATCCGAAAGAAGACAGTTTTAAAGGCAGATGACCTTGAACCACTGGCAGATGATTCTAATGATGTTGGTTCTAGGTAAGTATTGATTTTAGAAGTATAACAGGAAACCTAATAAAAAAGTTGGTGTTGTATATATAAAGGATTCTACAAGGGTTTCTCTGTAATACTACTTAGGTTATATGAACTGTCATGTCATCTCGGCTGCAATGTTTCCACGGAATGATACAATAGCATGGCTGACAATCATAGTCCACAATGTTTTCTGTTCTTGCTTACACAGAGGTCTGCTTACCAAGGCTTTCCTTGTATTAAGGTCTATTGCCAAGCCTATCTGTATATAACTGCAAATAAATGATCTTTAGGTACTGTAAATCACTTAGATTCCCTGAATACTTTATTTCACGCACTCACCTCTGCAGACATATTCGCAAATATATGATGCCAAGAATACTGATCTAGAAATTACTTTGAATTCACAAATGATAAACTATTTGAGACATGGACTTTGCAAAGCACCCAGATTGGCAATTGATAGCTTCATATTTGCTGCCATTTGGCTTACGGGAGTCATATGACTCTACCTAAAACATGATTCAGTCATGTGATACATGCTGTGTTTATACTGAATTGTACTGCTCTGATTACAAGCTAGTACATAGACAGATGAAGCGGATGTGAATATTCCATATGCTTTTATGTTTAAAGAGTGAAACAAGTTCTTTCCCAGATGACAGGACGTCAATAGGCCAGATGTATTGTGCAGTTTTTGACTTTACAGCTTTGTTTATTTTAATTATACAGAAGTCGTCCTAGTGGTAACGTCTTTGACCGTTTTTCACCTGTTTATTTTGTAATCAATAAAATTGATATTTTGCATGTTATAAACACTGTTATGAATATTTTAATATTTTTCCAACACAAAAAAAAACATAGCTTATACATAAGATATGTCTAGCAGAATTGTTTTTGATAATACTAGTATGATAAGGTATATATATATTCAACATAAGTATAAATGGAAGTAAAAGTAAGTTAACATAGGAATAACAAGGATGTCATCAAGAGTTTCATACAATCAATCACAGGAGATTTGAATTTGTGATTGGTGCTCCTGTATTAATAGGAAATAAATACCACATGAAATATAAGTGATTTGCAGTATTCTAAAAAAGTAATCAGAGTCAGTTGAAGAGATCCAAAACCATAAAAGTCCAGTTCATGTTCCCAAATTTACCCTTGCTCCATATTTGTTTCTGTTTGATTTTTACAGATCCCGTGGACGAGGTCGTCACGTAGATCCAGATATGGAAATAAAAACTGAACCATCATGGTACAACAATTCTGAGCCAGGCAATTCAGAATCAGCTGTGCCAAGGGCACCAGTCGTAATAGACTATGGTCATCAACATGTGATTCCAGGATTGGATGTTCCAGCTGTGAAACAGGAAACAGAGACTGCTTCAATAACAGCAACAATGCCTGATGACGGTAAGTCGCGTAATGTGATTATGTTTGTAGAAGAGTAGTTGTTATAATTATTGTCATCCTTCTGAAATATTTAATTATATACCTCCAGATCATTGTACTGTCAATGTTTGTAAATTTTGCGGTGATAACTCAGTCCATCACATTAGGTTTGTGGGTAGGTTCATCCTGGAAGGTCATAGTGTCACATCATTAAAGGATGATGTATCCCTGACCATTAAACCAGTGCATTCTCTCTCCTACCTTTGATTGTGACCCGAGTTACAGAAATACCAATTTCAGAAGTCTATTTCTGCTTATGTTTTGACTTTGGATATGCATGCAGTCATTTGTAAGACTTAAAGGATTTTGTATCGAAATGGTTCATACTGTACTTATAATCAAGTGCCCTGTGTTGAGTACCAAAGTAACATCCTGGAACCTTTCTCCTATATTGTTTCATTTAAAAATATTTTGGTTAAAAGTTTTTGCTAAATCCACTGTTTTGAAGTAGATTTAGCTTATTTTATCTTTCACATTTCTACCAGATGACCTACAGGAACCAGATGATTTGTTTAGCGTACCTTTTGTTGAGGACGAAGCAGAAAATGAATTACAGAGTGCTTTATCAAAGGCACGACGAATCAAACTGACAAAGGACAAATCCAAAATACAAAAGGTTAGTGTGGTTATACAATGCCATTTTATCATCCTGTCTCCATTATCTGGATAATAACTAAAATCTAGTCAATAATTGTCTTCATTCTAACAATTTAATGATCTTTTCATGCAATATCATGGCAAATTGTCAGCTCATTATATGCACTCTTTAATGCTTTACGCTGATACGAAAGAATAGCCTATGTTAAAGTGTCAGACTTGTCCAAAACAGTTGTTTGAACACAAGATAACATATACCTTTAATCTTTGAGTGTAACTAGAATAATATATGATTTACCTTAGACAGATAGGTGACTGGGTATGGTATATGAGATTGACCTCGGACATGTAGGTAACTGGTATAATATTTGTGATTTACCTTTGATAGGTAGGTAACTGATATGATATATAGCATTTACCTTTGACAATAAGAAATGTTTTGACAGGTGGCAGCCAAGATTGCTCAAGAAAGAGTCATGAAGACAGAGCAGGAGATGGAGGAAGAAAAAGAAAGTAACATTGTCCTCAACTCCACATCTGAGTTCTGTCGGACTCTTGGTGACATCCCTACATATGGTCAGTCTGGTAACCGTGATGAGGAGAAAGAGGAACTCATGGTAGGCTCAAAGTTTTGTGCATACACCTGTTTGTGATATAGGATTAATATAACAATAAGTAAAAAGCATTTGAAGTTATTATAAACTGGTCATTTGATAAAAAAATCTTTGTGTTCAATTTATTGTGTTAAGAATTGAAACTGAATTTCTTTTAGGAAAAATAAGTGTCTTCACACAATAATTGATATTACCTTTTATGCTCCCTGAAGGGAGAGCATATAGTTCCCGCTTTGTCAGTCTGTCCTTCCATCTTAATTTTGTCTAGAGCATATCACAAAAACTGTAAAAGGCATCAACATCTTGTACAAGAACCATAACTCTTTTGCATAATTTTATTAGAGTTATTGAAACTCGGTATATACATGGATCATACTAAGAGAATGTACAGTATACCAAATTCAATTTTAATTATGGAATTATTGCCCTTTGATTAAATTTTGTGTCCAATAAGTCCTTTTTTGTGGAGCATTCTTCTGTTTATAATGATACTCTTGTTATTTTTGAAATTCGTATTCCTGTTAATAGCATACTTTGTACAGCATTAACAGCCTTCAGCTTTTTCTGTGTTTATATTTTCAATACTCTTCTTCATATTTGTGGTTATTTCTCTTTATTTGCTCAGGACTTTGAGCGAGAGTTGATGGAAGACAGGAGGAGACAAGAGGAGGAAGAAGCTACTGGTTGGAACCGAGTGGAGATTGATGAAACACCTGTAGACATTCAGGTGAGCAGCTATCAGATGGAACTGTTTCCCCTGGGTTATATCATATAATCAGTCAGTGATTAAAGCTATTTCAATCAAACATCTATCCCACCTGAGGACTCACAGTTTTATTTAGGGGTACTAGCCATAGAATTGATCATTTGCCAAGGCAGTAAACTTAACCATGGGTAGAAAAGATTCATTTTGAAGTTCTGGAGTTAATTAAGTACATTTTAATGTTTTCATGGAATAGTCTTTAAGATGTTTGAAAGTTAATGGTATTTTGCTAAGAACAGACTGAGTTAACAAATATTTTTCTGTAATTTTTTGAAGGATAATCGATATTGCTGTGATATTTTCAGTTGACTTAATGAAAAAATGTAATTGGAAAGCAGTTAAATTTCAGTTGCTCAGACAATGTGCTTGTGCTGTCATCAGTTGGTATCAAATTGAAGTATCTCATTAGGTTTACAGTGTGACATAGACTGCACAACCAACTGAAAATAACAGTTTTCCTCTGTTTCATGAAATCAACTGAAAATTTTATGACATGAACATAAATCAGTTACAAAGTTGTTAAAGAAAAATATAACATGTTGCAATGATAGTTTCCAATGAAGTACAATGAACATTTGCATAAGAATCCCGTGGGAACAGGGTCGTTTTACTAGATAGATTGAAATGATCAGGTACTGTATTTATTATGTGCAGTCATTTATAACCATAAACATGTAACATATTAATGTAAAACATCCTGTTTTACTTCCTTGTTACATGGAATGTCCATTTCATATTGAATATTCAAACAAGATCATTTGATTTTATATTAGCCTTTTGGAAAGCGAATTATGTTATTAGAAGTGTTTACTAAAAACAATGTAACTTACAACTTACAAAACTTACAAAAGCTTCTATACTAGCATATCATATTAAGAATGTAAGCAAACATCCTCCAGTTAGTTTCACTAGAAATAAGACACCGGAATTTTGGCTACTTTTTCACTACCAAATAGAATGTTAAGGATATATATGACATCACAGAATTATTACCAATACTCCACTGGATGTATATTACAACTTTGTTTCTGATTTATATGTTAAGGGTGAGGAGAAAGCTGTCCTAGATGATGAACCAGTGGTAAATCAAGGCGTAGGGGCAGCGCTGGAGTTAGCAATGAAGAAAGGTATGTGTTCATCCTCATCACTACCACACATAATCATACTGTCATTCTGTAGCCAAAATCAGAACACACAAAGCACGATAACTAAGTCAGACTTTTGTCTACAGCAGAAGAGTGTTTTGATTAAGCTATGTCAAACTTTCTTATTATTGTTTTGTCTTGGATAAACAAAAAATTATTTAGTATCTGACATGAGTTTCCATTTTCTACAAAATTTCTGAAACAAAGCTAAAATGAGAACTTTGTCCTGAGTTTCTAGAATTACATATAAGATGGAAACAAATGGAAAAATCACATGATGAATTGTGGAAAGCATTGCAGAAATATCAATTGTCCCTTGTGTAAGTCACATATGAGTGTCTCATCAAGGTATTATTTTATCTCATGTCACTTTTACATTACCCAGTTGAAGTGGTTCAGGCAGCCCAGAATTATTTGACAATAAATGAACGTACCTGTACTGAAGGTTGAAAGGATATATTTAAAGCTAAAAATGCTGTTTTCAGAATTTCCTTTCAAACATAAAACAATGAAACAAATATAGAATATCTTTCACTTGAATGTACATTTAATAGCATATTTCCAGAAATATGTACATGGACCAATCCCCAGCTTTATGCAGAAATTCTAAAAAATGATGATATTCCGTTAGTTAGTTTCTGACAGGCACGAATGGACCCCTTAAACTGCACTTACCATGTATTGTGCAGTCCAGCTTCAGTCCCAATCTGCATCTGGCTTTTTTCTTGCATGTTCAGCTGGTTCAACCATTTCAACTGCTTACACAGAGGTGACCTTAATGTCCGAAAAGGCCATGTTACATGAGATCATGTACACTGTTATTATTACAAGGATATATTTATTGTCTAACTGGGTAATCACATGATAAAATTGTGAATACTACAGACAGTTTGCAAAGAATCTTTTGTCTGTAACATAAAAACTGAGGTTATATTGTGTTACAGGTTATCTACAAAAGGAAGTTGTCAAGCAAAACACATCATCCAAACGTGAGGAGCTGGAAGCCCAGAACTATTCCATAGAGGACAAGCGCTATGAGTAAGTAGGAGTCTTACAGAATTTGTCTCTTATAAACACACTCAAAATCACATTTTTGAGTCCTCTGCAGGATTTTTTGTGGAGTATGCACCCCTTCTTTGTGTATTTTGGCTTTGTTTGTCATATCATAAGGCAATGTAAACAATGATTTAAAATTAATCTTTGAACACAATACTTGTAAATGAACTTGTTGTTTTCTTATTTTCTTCCTCATTTTGTCAAGTCATGATTTTCCAAATATATGTGATAATTTGGTATTATTATACATATGTTATTATGTTGTGACTTCTTATCTTTCCTTCCAGTGACATTGATGACAAATACAGGAAGCGTGGTGATAGGTATGGAGGCAGTGGTATGTTGACAGACTTTAAGGAAAAAGATTTGTACAAACCAGATGTCAAGTTAGAATATGTTGACAACGATGGGCGTAAACTGAATGCAAAGGAAGCATTCCGACAGCTGTCTCACAGATTCCATGGCAAGGGCTCAGGCAAGAAGAAACAGGAAAAGAGGCAGAAGAAACTGGAGGAAGAGCAGGTGTGTGGACGAAAAATACCAAGATCTTCATTGTGTTTAATAGGTTCTGTGTAATGACATCACAAATTTATACACAAACACAATGTTATAGGAGGAGAAAAGAGGAATTCATTAGGAGAGAATGAAATTACACCCTACAGTATAAAACTTAAACTCAGAATCTTGGTGTGGCTCAAAACATCTACTTTTTGGTAGAATTAACCTTTCCTTATGATCATTGTTATGTGAGGTGAGGACAGTGACAAAAAGTACATTATAACAGAGTATCATATAGCCTTAAAAATCCTTTTATAGAGTCACTTGCTTCAGGTTCCAATTTATTACTGTTTGTAATCTCTATACAAGGACCTGCCTGCCTATAAAGGCACCTTTGTCTGTTCCTTTGAGACAAATTTTTATTTTAATGCAAGTCTATTATCTGTTACAGTTGATGAAGACTATGAGCTCTACTGATACACCCCTCGGCACACTAAACCTACTTAAGGAGAAACAGAAGTCGGAGAAGTCTTCTTATGTAGTCCTCACTGGCAACAAGGGATTCACATCGTATGTATATTAGCAATGTTTCTCATCAGACGGATTAGCTTCTTTCCTCATCAGAAATATTTTATTTTATTTTGTCTGTATTAAATTGATAAAAGAGTTCTTTCACATCCACCTCAAAAATGTTTTACATTTTGAAATATCTTTTAATGAAAAATATATTTAAATCACATTTCAAATACTTCTCCACAATTCAGTCCTTTATAAATAAAGAAAATCTTAAAAAAACAACAAAACATTATTTCATATTGGAAATATTGTGCATGAATACATACATAAATTGGAATTTAAATTCAACTCTGCCTTTTAGTTAGTCCTGTTGTACAAGTCTAGTCTAATTTTCTTCCACAGGAATTCTATCGTCAAAACCTAGCAGGAACGCATTGACGCTGTTTTGTAGTGGAACATTATTGAAAGTGTGGAGGAGATCATTCATCATCATTATGGTTCTTCTACTTTCAACTGTGTAGCTAAGTGCTACAAAATTACTGTACTTCCCTATCATTCATCCAGTCAGACAATACTATAGGTTTGGATTGTGCCAGTGAAAATGGAAAATAGTTCCATTGTCCTTAGACTAAAACACTAAGGAAGAAAATGTTGCTTTTGCTGTGTTGTTGAAAGTGTTATATTTCCATCAAAACTTTATGAAAGAACTATCACAAACAAATGACATGGAGAAGAAAGATTGGGCTTCTGAGTGGTGAAGGTGGGGACTGTCAACTTGTACAAGTATATTGGACTGTAGTGTGTTAGCTCTGTTGAAGATGAAGTGCTTGACTCAGAATGGTTTTGAAAACTGTTAACAATATCAGCACTCCCACAGAAAGTGAACGCATTCTCTTATCACAAGAAAGGATTTTGTAGAAGTTTATACAGTTATTTCAAATGATTTGGAGCTAAAAAAATTCAGGTTTTTGTCTCGCCATGACAAAGGCGGGCAGTTGAGACTAGTGTTACTTCATTGTTGATGTCTGCATCAAAGTTAAGTTTATGTGATGTTTAAGAGATCGCCACTAGGTATACCTCAGATCACAATATGAGAGGTTTTACTTTAGGAGGAAACAACAGTACCCTAGAAAATCCATGTGGTTGGGCAGGTGACCCTTTACTTTTTCACATCTGTTCCAGGAATCAAACCTTGGATTGTTAGGTGAAAGTAGAGTGTGCTACCACTGGGCCACCCAACCACCTTCATTTTGCATCAATGTTAAGTGAAATGTTTCATCTTACCTACTATTGGTCAGGTTACTGAAGTATTAGGTCAGATAACTTGTACCAAAGTTAATATTGGGTCTACTATGCAGACAAGAATTCACTAGAATTATATCCTTGTCACAAAGGGCAAACACATTCCTGACCCATTACACAGAATTTACATCTGTGGTGATGTTTAATGTAAAACATTAGATTTACTTATCTCATTGTTATATTGTCGTGACTCATGTACATATTAAAATTCCAATCAACTACACAGGTCAGGCAAGCTAACTGCATAATATACAAGTTAACACAGAATGCTAGTATGTATATAGACATCGTCACTGCCTGGTGAATTTCAGTGTTATAATTAACTTTGGTGTCAGTGTTGAAACAAAGGGAGATAAGACTATTACAACTACTAGGAATTACGGAATCATGTAGATCTAGATGATTAAAGATACAGGTTTGATTCATGTGTGCTGAAACGCCCAGAATACCATCATATCACCATACCAATACACTCTGTATCATTATCATTTCTAACATGGTACCAATAAAATAAGTTCAATGTCAGTTTGTGTCTTTTTGCTTTATATTTGGACACTTACCATGTATTAAAGTTTCGGTAATAATTTTGATCTGGATTCCTTTAAATATCAAAAGTGTTATTCGTGACATTTAGTTTACCTGATCCAGAACTCAATGAGCTTTTGCCATTAAGAGTTTTTTTTTTATCACTTTTGAAGAAGTTCTACTTTTACACTGTACTTCATCTGTTGTCTGCCCTATAAACAATCTTGAAATTATCATTTCTTGAGTAGTAAAGGACGGACATTCCCATTGGTTTCCTAGTTATTGGTTGGACTGTTTGGAAAAACAAAATGGCTGACAGGCGACCATCTTGGATTTTGACAGTTGTAGTTTTCATTCACCTGAAGGGAGAGCATATAGTCATCACTTTATCTGTCTGTCTGTTCAATTGTCTGTCCATCATCCAGAGCATCAAACAAAAGCTATAAGAATTATCAACATAAAAATTACTATGTAGACAGATCTCAACAGGGAGAAGTGCATAATTTAGGCGTTATTGCCCTTTGTAAATTTTCATACATAAATTTTGTCCCATTCAGGGAGCCTAACCAGTCTCTAACAGCCCATGATTACCGGTATGTCTATTTTTGAAGAAGAACTGGATAGATCTTTTTCACATTTCATTTGTAGGTACCCATGCTACCAAGTTGTGCATTTTTGATTTTTTGGATTGATCAGGAAAACAAAATTGGCCAATAGGAACTGGATTTTGACTGTCACACATCCTGGTCTGACCTATCCCGGGGCCAGAGTAGACCCAGCTCATATACAATCTAATACTCCTATAACAACAGAAGGGTTATAAGGTGCTTTATCATCATTGTAAATTTCATTTTCTGTAGATATGATATTTTTCCACCTGGCCTCTTCAGGATCTCTGGGGAATTGAATTTCCTTCCGCCAATATCCACTCATCTCCGAGTCTCCTGCACATCCCAATAATACCCAAATTGGCATTCTTTACTGTCCTTGATGGTATCTGTCCGTCTCGCTGGAACTCGATAAACATTGGTCCTCTTTGCGTTCCACATACCTATATCCTTTCCCCTTCAAAGATGTGCGCAAGTTGTTCTAATACGCGGTCTTGTCTCGACGTGTATCGGCCCTTTGCCACACACAGTAACTCACAGTAAGACAGAAAATGTCCAGACTTGCAGGCCTTTCACATTGGTGACATCTCCCACCATATCTCAATCTGTGAAGATTTGTCGGCGTTGGAAGCACATCATAATCAGTCCCGAGAATGAACTGTAGCTGTCATGATGTGTATCTCCAAAGATTTCTGCCCATGCCATCTTCCTCTCTCTCCCATTTGTCCATGCCCTATACCCCTATCTTAACTGGTTTCACCTTCCTTGCCTCCTCTTTCTGGCTCTTCCTGCACCTGCTGTCTCTTCTCTATTACATTAGCATCTTTCCATCTTGATGATTGCTCTCTTCCTGACCGTAGCCTTCCGATTCGCACTGTTCTTGCGATGTTTTTCTGCCTTTACGACTGCCTTGCTGACCGATTGCTTTCTTTTCCGACCTTCATCTCCACTCTTGATTGTCTGCATGATTCGTACCTTAGAGCCTTTCAATGTCTTGATTAGTCTTACCCTTCCTACCTACAATACCATTTCCCCCCAGAAAACTAGAATAAGAATGCAAATATACTGACGTAAAAAAACATAAAGCGAAAACAAACAAAGCATCGACGGACCTTTTCGCTCCTTGGACCTGAAAAACTTTGGCATTTAAACGACCAATTTACAATTCCCATAGAGTAATATATTTGTGTCTGTGACAACAATCAGATTTATATTCTTGACGGCAGAAAGAAAATTTTGTCTTTACACGAAATAATGGGGAGAAAAAAGAAGTGATAGGCATTCCCACATCAAGTTTTCTTTCTGTATTTTTTCCTAATCGGACGGTGGGTTTTGTTTGTAAAACATCTAAAAGTTGTTGACCTAAAAGTAAAGACAGTGAAGATATGTATTGGAGTCCATATCACGAAAACGTGACCCTTAAGCGAGTTATCGACCTTGGAAAAAGCTCCACCTATATATAGAATGCATGTCGTCTTATATAATTCTCAAGGCTGTTCTGCTCTATTTTCGTTTCAGATACATAAAAAAGCAAAATATTTCCTATTACAACCGGCTTTAAGTTCTCTGATATATAATTAATTAATATTTATAATGAAATTCACGATGAAGATATCCTAAACACCGTATTCTTGCAATTTCTTGTAGTTAGTCGAAGCAGATTTGATAGCGAAAACCTCAGCCGGAAGGGGGGTGCCGGCCATCAAGTGGTGTGTGCAAGGAAACTCTCGATCTATTCTATTATTACACTTAATATGACGTATAAGAAATATTCATTTAAACATCCAATCATCTTTCACAATTTCTTTTATAAAAATAGAACCGTATTTATAACTTGGAACCTCTTCAATGCTTTCCATGTGCACACACGATTTAATACCCCCGCCAATTTGTTCCGGTTGTACAATTAGGCCTAGTGGCAAACACAGACAAGTTTGGCTATCTGTTTAAAAAATAAGAACAACTACTTTAAATTTGAAAATAACATCAATTTATTTGAAACAAGGAATAACAAGAGTGATATCTGACATTTGACAGAAGTAATAAAATATAATGTACATTACATTACATGTTAGGCTGTAAGTATTCTGTGTTAAATGTGAACATTGTGTCACCTTTTTTAAACTTGAGAATATCATTTTTCATTTTCAAAATCACATTTCATGTAGATCTATATTTTCTAATTTCAAAATTTCATTTCATTTTTTAAAGGAACTCATAGTTCATTATAAATCATTTGTAAGATCTCCTTCCACATGTAATCTAAGAAAAATAGGTAACTCATGTATTTTATGAGGAAAATTGCATTACCAGGTATTTAATAAAATTATTTGCAAGAAATACAATTTTACAGTGCTTTTTTTGCCAGTTTTCAGTTACACAAGCAACACATGTATATTACATCCAGAATTTAAATATATTTGTGTGGCTATATAAACTTTTGATTAGTGTCACTTCATATGAACATCATTTTTGCTCTTTTTACAGGAAACCTGAATGACAGTATTCAAATACATTGCAAAAAGTAATCATAGCATATTCCATTACAGTAACCGATTTAAAATAACAAATTTCCGATTGAAAATTTCTTCATTTTCTAGATATTGTAAATAGATATGAACTTGACATTAAGTCTAAACAAGATCTGCAGTATATATATCAGTAGTAGTACATGGCAAATACCTCGAGAGCTTCCAACTTATGACGAAAAAGTGATGAGCTCCCTAGATATAGTGATGAAAAGTCATAACCATTGCCAGCGCATTGGATAATATTTTTAAAAATACAATATGTTATAAGGCACCAAGATGAATTTCCAAAAAGAGACATGGCACACTACTCCTAACCATTTCATGGCAGTAACCTTATAACAAGACTTGCATGTTTGTGAACAGACAGATAACAAACAATGGAAAAAAACATGTCAAGTACATATGATAAATTTAAACAAGGATAAAAAACTAAATAAGCATAAAACACATTCTTTGTAAAACAAAATAACATATTAAACAAAATTATGCATTTGCACTATCTGTGCTAAAAACGATAACAGTAAATACTACTGTAAATAAAGAAAATAGAGTAAATAAACTATGACAAAGAATTAAAATCAATACACAAAATAACTTGTGCACTACCTGTTATGTATGATAATCATGTAAAACAACAAAAAAAAAACCAAAAAACCCCCCCAAAAAAACGAAGAAAAATAAAAATTAACAAAAACAATCAGAATTACCCCCACAAGGTACTTCAGTATATCACATTGCTTTCATAAAAATGTTCTTAATGCCTTTGTTTGATCTATTCAATAGATATGAATTATTAAACACTCTTCAGGTATTATTATGCATGTAAGAATATGTGCACACTTTTTACATATTTGAATACATTGAATTGAAAAATATTTACAAATTCAATGTTTGCGATCTTTGTACACACGCCTTTTCCTTTTATGTTTGGAAAGAAGAACAAGTCGGTTTTGTTTTTCCATAACTTGTTTCAAGGCCAAAAGGCCTTTGTGGTTTGTTGCTCTAAAGTAGCTTTTGGTAATAATATCATTCATTTTCTCTAGCCCTTGTTGGGAAAAGCTGACCAAGTTTCCATGAAACTTTATCAACTCACTGACATGATAGCGAAGAGCATGTATATAGGGGGTAATGTCTCTACTCTGATACAAAGAAACATACATTCTGCACCAGTTTTCAGCCTTTCTTTGCACTTCATCTGGGTTGGGAGATAGAGATTTCAAAATCATATTAATATCTGAAAATGCATCCCACAACTCTTGTATTTGGTTTGCTCTTTCACTGTTAGGAAGGAGATCTGAAGCTTGAAACTTAGTCATTAATATCTGCTTCTCTGGACCTGTTAAGTCCCTATACTCCAGCTTCCTAGTTTCCTTGTTAATATACAACTCAAATGAAATTCCCATTTGCTGCAATGCATTCTCTAATGCAGACACATGTTTGACTTTATCTCTGTCTAATTCAACAAATGTTGTATTCTGTGAAACATTATCCAATGCTCTCAGCTCTGTAACTAACAAATTAAAGAGTTTGTCAGTTATTCTAAGAAAGAGATGCAAGAGATCCAAGACAACTTGAAATGGGGTAATACATGGAAACAGAGGCCGGTTAACTATGGAGAAGGTCTGTTCTTTCTTAGGTCTTGACAACCCACTATTTGCAGGTTTATTCACAGGCTCAGTACAAATATATGATAACCTTGCCCCAAGAGCTGGGTCCTGCATTGACCATTGCTTTTTAAGATCAATCTTCTCCTTTTTGTCACATTTACAGTAAATACAAGAGTTTGAAGCTGCCACAGATGATATGCCAACAGCAACTAATAAGAATTTGTAGTCTCCACCCAAGTAAATTGTTACCTCAAATTCTCGATCTTGAACCTTCAGTATATTCCCCTGTATTTCTTCTACTTCGTGCTGTAGATCAGCTAGAGCAATGTTTAATTCAGTGTACTTTTCTTTGGTCTGAACAATGCATAAAGGATAACATGTTTGGTGAGCTAAACCTTCATTAACAATATTGAAAGCGAAATTGACAACATGTAACCTTTTCCCTACTCTTGTCCCATCTCCAGATATTTTCACTTTCAATTTGTTATCTGGCACTATTTCAGTGTTTTCTGACATTAAACTACTTAAAACATCAATGAGCCTTTGCTTTAAGGATTGTTGAACCCCGAGTCCATCTGGTGTAGTGATAATGTTGAAACCCTTGTTTAGGTTTTTGATATACTCAGTAATGTTATGTGCACGTGGCATAGTTTTGAATAACGAACTTAACTCGCGATATGCTTCTTGTGATACATGGAATGTATCTAATATATACAGTAATGTGTTAATGCGATCAAGTTCTGTTACATCTACATTTTCTGTATTGTCCTCATCTGCCTGAAGAAGATCAAAGACAGCCTCTTCTCCATTTCTTACAACTGTTACACTTATTGGTTTACAACCATGGAGTTCTAAGGCACCTAGAGCATTTTTACATCTCTCATTGTCCATTTTCATCACTTTCCTCTTGTAAGAACCTGAACACTCTTGCAAAGGTTTTCTTTTTCTTCTAATATTGTCATTAGATTCCTTCGCATAATTTTGACAATGAAAGTTTTTATCACTATCTTCACATTTTTGCAAAGCATTTTCTAAGGAGGTTATTTTGTTTTTCATTTTTTGTTCTTTTTTTCGGGCTTCACTGACAAAGTCACAAAACTTCCCTTCAATGCTATTCTTTTCAACTTCGCACTGCTTTAGTTTGCCTTTAATTTCTTCAATTTTCACTTCAGTTTCATGGGGGCCTAACGGCACATGCCAAGAAAATTTTGACTTACTAATTGAATCTTTAAATCGGTGAAACTGGTTCCCCCCTTTCACTTTGGCTTGAAGGCCACTTCGTTTAAGTCTATAAAGCTCTGCCCTTAAAATGTTTACATCTTTCTCGTTTGCTTTAAACGATAGTGTTAGCTCTTTTTCTAACTCAGTTTTGATGTTTTTGACTACATCTAACGTTAACGGTTCTTTCCAATGATTCTGTACTAAGGAAAAAAGGGTTAATTTAGATAGTACAACCATATCTATTTTCAAAACAGTTTAGAATCTTACAGCAAACATAATTGCGATTAAAATCAAATTTCCTTTTAGAAAATGTTTAAGTTTCTAAAACACTTCCTGTATTTCTGTGAATTCCATATAACTGTAAAAAATGTTAAAATTCTAAAATACTTCCTGTATTTCTGTGAATTCCATATAACTGTAGAAAATGTTAAAGATTCTCAAACAAACTGTCAAAAAATAGATGGCCACACTTTTGTTGACTAAAGTTCTACAGCATTCAAGAGGTCTGCACCATTGTTCCTGTTAGATGGCATTTTCACAAAGGAAAAGACCAGCTGAGTGCCTCTGTCCAGGGTATACCTTTCGATGTGCTCAGGGTACAGGAGGAAATCTGTAAGTGGTCTCCTGCTATGCAGATAGAATTTCACTGTGTGTGTTTTTATATAAAAGTTGTCTCCTTCTGCATTGAGAATTCTATAGTCCCAGCCTGTTCCAAGTAACTGATTTAACCTGTTTCTGTTTATTATTTTATACACAGTCTTTGTCTTTGTCACTTTGTGGGGGGTTCCACAGTTGGATATTTGGAGAAATTCTGCTGCCGTCACTGGCACCTTCACTTTAACCAGACTGTCTGATCCACATGGACTTAAATTTTCTTTTATCATTACCACCAGCTTGTGGGCAAATGATGAGGTTTGGTGGGGTATCATCACAAGCTGGTCTCTTGCCACTTCCTCATCATACTTCCTGTGCCACCCTGAAAGAAAAATAGAATACATTATAATACTGATAAGTGAACATGATAGGTGTATATCTATGGTATGTGTATACATCTATGGTACGGTTGTGGCACAATTAATACTTAATACATCAATATATCTATATTGAAACATATATACAGGAAATTGATTAACAGAACACTTACCTACATAATGGATCTTTACATAACCTTCTTGGCCCTCATTTATCACCTCCACAGGATACAGACCAGTACTCCAGGTATCGTTTGAATTCCTGCTTCTTGATCGTCTTGATTGGGGCAGATTTGTACTGTTTAACTCACTGGAATTAAGACAATTATCAATACAAAGATCAGTATTATTGATTACATTTTCAACATCTGTAGTTATATGACAACTTAAATACTTCACAATAACACTATATTAAAACTCAAGTTGGATGCTCGCACAGTTATTGAAATTCAGCTAAATATAATTATTTCTGACCTCAATGGCATTTTGCATTATACAGTGGAACCTGTGAAATATGACATACATTGGGAGTTCATAATGTGGTCAGATTCCACAGGTTGTTGGAAAAGTCAGGATATTTCTACATGAATTAGTAATACTTGGTATGGCAAACTGTGTCAGAAAGGACAGGATGTCGGAAAAGTCAGGTGTCAGATTTCACAGGTTTCACTGTATCGTCAATAGGACCTTACAGAATATTTGACATTTAAAAAACATTCCAAATATGTTGGATTAAGATACTGTTTAAATAATTGATTCTTTCTGTATGCAGTGTGTTCAAAGGCCATGGTCAAAAGAACATTTTACTATCTCTGATATAAAAACAGCTGGGACTTGTGTGAAAGTAGGTGGTGGGAACTGCCGGCTCCTATTGAACACACTTGACTCTATGTAAATGATTGAAACTTCTTTTTTGGCCCATATTTGACATACAAATTTCTTCTGTGGCTAATTTTAAGAAGTGCACCCCTTTTTATTTTCTGTTTATGTAAGTGCACTGTACGCTTATTAGGACGAATACAGTATATTGTCCATTCAGTTAAATTCTTCTATATGTGGGAGTGTGTCCGTTTTTTTTATGTGTTCTGAACTGGGTCTCCAGCAACCAGCATGATAATAAGCCAGAGTCTACAAACTGACCCAATTAAGCATGCTCCATCTCTTTTGTGACAGCTTTATAGTTTTTGAGGCCGTATTTGGATGGCATGATAATAAATGAATACATTGCGATATGTATATGTAATTATAAAACATAAGATATCTGTTCAAAATGTACCATATAGGGTCCGGTGATCCGGAGAAGCGAGGGGGGGGTGGTCGTAGCAGTCCACAGTGTATCAAACACACAATTTAGGCATGTCATGTTTAAACATTTCATTTTACCTACACGTATTTAGATACTACGAATTACCGAAAAATCAATATTTTGGAGCAACAAAGTCTTCGTTGTCATTCGTGTACTGAATGTCAACAACCTACAAGCTAAGCTTGTACTGTAACAGGGCAGATAGTTTTTCCCACGACACCGGCTGCCGTGTACTTTCTACATTTCATACCAAGTTTTTGCGCTTAAAAACAATATAGCGTGCATTTCATATGCTTAATGTGTCGAGAACAGTTTTTGAAACATAACTACAATATACTCACATTGTACTTACTCATAAGATTCAACGATCTCACCATCTGGTTTGGTGATGCGACGGCTCCGCGACGCCATTATCTTGTTTCCCATGCTGCTTGAGAGGGGAGAGAACTCCGTATAACACATTAGCAGGAAAGCGCGTATTTTCGTCATATGTATTTTAAGGACACCAGTGCAAGAACTTTGCTAATACTTCCTCGATTTTGGGTTTGAATTAAGATTTGTATTCTAAACGTTCATCATAGACAAATATACTTCTACACAAAAACATCTTACTGATGCTGTACTGTATATTAGAATTCTATTTCATTTTCATTTTGTAGAATTACATGTGTGCAAAAATAGACTGGAATTCCCAGAACGCTATTTACACGTGCTATTTATAAACATTCGTAGTATTCCTGGGTTATGCTGGTATGTACATTTCACGGAGATAGGTAGAGGTAAGTAAATTAATTAGTTTTCTATATGCATTCTGCCGTAATCTGGTGTTGATATTGATAATTAGGGCTTTTCACCATTTGGTGAAAAGACCTATTGTTTTTGTTATGTTTCTTATTAGGGCTTTTCACTAACTGGTGAAAAGACCTAGGGGAGACCGGGGCACATATCAGAACATAGTAGTCGTTCGCCAAGAGTTACGTCTCCTTCACATCTCCGTCGTAACAGGCTTCCCATTAGAAAGATACGACATTTGGCATGTTTTTATTAAAGTTAAGGTACAAATGGTTGTTGCTACATCTATTACATTTCGTGACAACGACACAAGGATGTTTTATGCATGCTCCAGTAGTTATAATGAAAAGCAATCAAAGGAAACATCCGTAAAATTACTCGAGTTCATCTTGCAGCTTGCTGCTATTACAACGTGAAACACCATGGCGGACGAACGGGTTTCCCCAAGTTCAATATAGGTTGCTATAAATATTTATCCAATAAGCTATTACGCTCGATATGACGTATTAGGGATTTAATCCCATCTGTCAAATGAAATTGGTCAACAGAAAATCTATTTAAAGCCTGTAATTACCGGCATGACGATGCAGTGTTGATGCAAATAGACGCCTTCAGAAATAGTTCCGGGCCAAGGAAAAACGGACCAATGACAACAAAATTGAAACTGTAACTTTATTAACAACAATAAATTGACATTCCTTGTCAAATAAAGCATATATCAAAACTAGATATACATATATCCATTATCAAAAGCCATCACTCCACAACTATTTTTTTATTTAAAACGAAGTCAGAAACACTTGCATATTTATATGTAGCCACAATGGCTTGTCTAGATAATTAAGATAATAAAAATAATTTCGAAAAGTCCCTGTAATTTTGCTACTTCTGGTTATTAATTTTGTAAATATGCTTTTTTTTCTCACATGATGTACAAACTATTGCCCCATTAGGATATTCTGACAAGGTGAAATTAACGACGCCATCAAAAGACCATGGCTGCAATAGTAATAATGGTATTGACTTATCTGCAAATAAATTGGCAACCATACAACTTAATGCTAGAATCACTGTAATTCCTCCACCAGTATGAGTGATTTACATTATTCTGATAGTGTAACAAACAAGCTCTGTCCCGTCAGTTTATCCTAATAGGGATCTATGAAGGTATAATGGAATGCTGACAATATTCATATATTGAACAATCATTTTAATTTGTCACACGAAAAAAAAAAAAAAAACAAGAGCCTGTTTCAGGTCACGAAATACGCCTGTGATTTTGTCTGACTATCACCTACACTATTTATGCTGTATATAATATATTGCATTTGTTTCAATGGTAATTGCGTAATACTTTGCAAAGTTATTGCACCGACATTGAAAAGGTTACAGACATTAATGGGCCGTAACTCTAAAAGTTGTGGATCAAAAATCATGGAAATCAAACTCAATCTAGCTTTGATTGTACTTAAGCTTGCAATGAAAGTTAAAAGAAATCTGTTAAGGCTTAATAAATTCCAAAATCGCTGGGACATTGAAATGTTTACGAACAGAGGGACATACGGACGGAAGATGGACGGATGGAAGACGAGAATACCATAATATGTCCTGTCATTTGACGGATGTATAAAATACATAAATATCAAACAAAAAAAAAGAAGTAAATAAATGTAAAGATCATAAATCTAAAATAATAAGCAAAATCACTTGAGGTACGCATATTGTGCATAAAAATACATTGAAAAATTAATTTAAGATTAGAAACAAGAGGCCCATGGGCCTTATCGGTCACCTTAGAATCAATCACTTCACAAGCAATGGTAAGAACTGACAGTATTTCTGATATTGATTTACATTTATTATTAACAGCTAATAGTTGTCTGCTGTTTAAAGAATTATAAAAAAAATCATCACATGTTTTGTTTTTTATTTGTCTATTTCATTATATCTAGGAACATTTATCTTATAGTGATATAGTGACAGCTGTCAGTTGCTCACTTATTATGAGTCCATACTAGTTTATGGAGAAATTACTGAAATTAGCATGTCTATGTGTGCTTGATGATGAAGATAATGATGTTGACTGTGTCTAAGAATCTGCAGCATCCTTATGCATGGAAGTTAAAGTGTGTGAAGAAGCTGATAATGAGGATGTGTGATGCTGCTGCGTGATGCTGCTGATGTTGGTATATATGATGATGTTGAGGTGTGACGATGCTGATTTGGTATGTGATAATGCGGATGTGTAATGCTGCTGAAGTGTGATGATGCTAATGTTGATAGGTGACCATAATGATGCTGATGGTATGTGATGATGCTAATGTGTGACGAGGATGATGATTGTATATGATGACGTTGATGTCAGATGCTGATGTTGTTTGTATATGTAACAATGCTGCAGTGCTAGTATGGCTGCAAGTTATAAATATATGTTTAGAGTGATTGTGTTACATAGTGTCTATGATAGTTAAGATATAGTGTGCAACTCAAAATGCTGTGTGTTTAGTGGTGAAAATGATGCATGACTATACTCTGTAAGTGTGTGACGATGGGAGTTATAGACTGATAGTATATATGAATCTATTTATTCCTCATGTGTTTTTCGATAAATAAAAAATAAACAAATATATATAAATAAATAAAAATAAAATTGATATTATCCCTGTTAATAATTAACATTTAAAATTACTTTTGCTAAATGATTCTTTTGGCATGTTTAAATGGGTTAAAATTTCCCTTGCACCGGTTGCAGTGCGCTTCCATAAAATTCTACAACGATACTACGCGATCTCTAAAAACTACAGCTCAAGCACCATTTCATCAATTAAATAATATTAATATAATACAAAAAGAACTATTACTTACGCATAAGAACTCACCACAGTTCCCCTGTAAGCAATTTCTTTCCGTGAGGTGCGCGTAATACCCGCCATGCTTACATAAAAAT